AGTAACAGATTTCTTCCTAATATTTTCCTGTCATTTAATATAAAGACAGAAAGATTTTCTTCTCAAGATGTTTTATGAAGCATGAAATGAACTCCTTTTTAAACCAAAGATTTGCTAATCAAATTTTTCATAACTGCTAAACATTACATAACAGGGACTGTGCCTTTTGTGTCTCATATAGCTAATAAACTGTTAATAATTTTTATTACCTCAAAGACAACTGAAAATAGAATAGGCTATTGCCTTTTTGCCTACACTTCTTACCTAAAACTAAGCCCTTTTGTTCTCCAATACAATAAACAGTTCATTTTAATTTCTGATCTAAAGGTGTGACCTAAAGTCTTTGTACATAATTTAAAAACAAAAGCACTTCTGAAAGTTTCTAAACATAAATGAGGTAATACTTCACTTCTTCTTTAGTTACTGCTATGGCAGGTCCTCACCTATTCCTGATTTCAAACAGCTAAACCTCACTTTATAGAGGAGACACACTCTACAAAAAGTTTATAAATAGAGTATTTAAAAATCACAGTACAAAAAAATGCTATAAACTAGGTACTGGTAAGTTGAATTATATATTTTTTTACATTTTTAAACTTTTAGGTTCAGAGGTACATGTGAATGTTTGTTACATAGGTAAACTCATGAGAACAAAGTTAGGACACATCAGAAACTCTGGGACACAGATAAGGCAGTTTAAGAGGGAAATTCATAGCATTAAATGCCTACATCAAAAAGTTAGAAAGATCTCAAATTAACGACTTAACAACAAAACTGACAGATTTAGAGAAGAACATATCAACCCTAAAGCTAGCAGAAGACAAGAAATTACCAAAATCAGAGCTGAACTGAAGGAAATCAAGACATAAAAAAAGCATTCAAAAGGTCACTGGATCCAGGAGTTTTTTTTTTTTTTTTTAAACTTAATGAAATAGAAAGGCCACTAGCTAGACTAACTGAATTATATTTTAAATGCACTAGAGGAGCTGACTTCCTAGAAATATTATGATTAACTCTTTAATATACATGCTTTTAAAAATTCATTTCTGATCACGGACAGCATAAAATAACTAATTAGTATACTGACAGTTGAGCCTTTCAGTATTTATACTTAAAAATGAAATTTCCTGTAATCCCAGCACTTTGGGAGGTCGAGGTGGGCAAATCATGAGGCCAGCAGATCAAGACCAGCCTGGCTAACATGGTGAAACCCCATTTCTACTAAAAATACAAAAAAATTAGCTGGGCATAGTGGCAGGAGCCTGTAGTCTCAGCTTCTGGGGAGGCTAAGGCAGAAGAGTCACTTGAACTTGGGAGGTGGAGCTTGCAGTAAGCCCAGATCACACCACTGAACTCCAGCCTGGCAACAGAGGGAGACTAAGTCTCAACAACAATAACAACAAAAACAACAACAAAACAACAACAAAATAAAAATAAATTTATTTTATTAAAGGTACTCCAGTAAATTTCATATTAAATTTTATAGTACACCAAAGAGTACTTATAATCTTTAAATCTGTTTTTAAAAACAAAATGTGCTTTTGGAAAAAAAAAATCTAGATAGGACCAGACAAAGTATGATTTACTACTGAATATACATTATTTAAATCATTATTTATTAATGAAAATACAAAAATAAAACACATATTTTTATAATCATTTATGTCACATTTCCAAAATGTTTTTCAAACTGTACTTAAATTAAAATGCTATATATAATATATATGTATTATGTAGCATATATATTAATTGATTCACTAACCACTATGTAAAAACCATGGTGCTAGGTCAATGAAGTAGCCATGGGATAGTAGAAACAGCCAAAGATGATACTTACAAGCTCACAGTCTACTACAGTAATGCAGAAAACAAAATAAAAGTCCAGGTACAGTGGCTCATGCCTGTAATACAGCAGCACTTTGGGAGGCCAAAGTGGGAGGATTGTTTGAGCCCAAGAATTCAAGACAAGCCTGGGCAACATAGTGAGACCCCACCTCTACAAAAAAAAAATTAAAAATCAGCCAGGTGTAGTGGTGCACACCTGAGGTCCCAGCTACTTGGGAGACTGAAGCAGGAATATCACTTAAGCCCAGGAGGGAGGCTGTAATGAGCTGTGATTGTGCCACTGCACTCCAGTCTAAGGATCAGAATAAGACCCCGTCTCAAAAAAAATAAAGTAAAATAAGTAAAAATATATTACATAACAGCCACATATATAAATTGTTACAGGTATATAACCTACAGGAAAGGCCAAATAATATTAGCTAAGTATACAGAAGGTAAGTAAATAAATTAGATCTTAAATTTTTTTAGAGATTGCCACTCCTAAAAGAGAGAAAACTATGTGAAGGAAGTCATCTTTTTAAAATGCATTTTTATTTTGGAAAAACAGCCAGATATAACTGAAAATTTAGAGACATGGGAAAAAAATACAATGGAGATAAAACTCAAAATGCAAAATTGAGTCTTAAATGCTCTTTAAAAAAAAGGTTTGGATTAAAAGATTCATGTTTCTGAAAACTAATCTAGCATAAACAGAGACTGTATGATGGCAAGAGAGTACCGATGGCATGAAAAAAAAAATCGGAGGTTAGAGATACAATTTGATCAGAAAATTCCATGTCCAGAACGCCTCTCACTGTATTAATCCACTTATCTTTCTAAATCTCACTCTACAGTGCCTCCTAGAAGAGTCATTCTTGAAGTCGCAACATAGTTAACAATCAAAACAAGGTTGACAGATTTGTCCAGTAAGAAAACAGTGAGTAATTTTTTTTATCCTGACAGTTTATTACCTACATAAACAGCAAAAGCAAGAACGGTCAAAGTTGACAGCTCCTGGTGTCCCTTGCACAGGATGACACTGAAACAAAGGGACCAGATGACTATAACACAGATGATAGGTCGCTCTGTTGCTGAGACCTTGTGCCATGTTGCAGTAAAGCAGTTTTATAACCTGCAGCTATGCACCAAGGAGAGCAAGGCAGAAAGCCCGGCCCTCATCAGGATGCAGGAACCAATAAGAAACAGGTTCCTAAATGACTTCCTAATAGTCAGTGAAGTAAATGAGAATCAACCTTGTATATAGTCAGCTGCTCATAAGCCTTTCATGTTCTCATGTTCCAGAAGGATGACAGGAAGTACTACCAAGGTTTAGATGAGCTGTGGTTAAGCCTTGTGTATGTGGCCCAAGTGCAGACGTGCAAGATTGTCAGGCCACTGTGGTGAAGCTGTTCTCATAAAACTGTGTACAATCATATCACTGTTATATTTATTATATCATGATAAAAATATTTTAACTTAAATGATGATGAAAACATGGCATAAGGCCATGCTTAGAGGATTAGAGCTAAAAATGCACATTTGAGAAAGCCTTAAAAAAAAAAAAATCAATGAAGTCAGATTCTACCTTAAAATGTTAGAAAAAGAGCTGTAAACTAAACCAAAAGTAGAAGGAGATAACACATATTGGAAGAAATAAAACAGGAGAAAAATATTAAAGAGAGGGGATCAACAAAGCCAATGGTTCATTCTATCAGGGAGATCAATCAAGAAAAATTGAGAAAGGAATAATTAATGCCTGGAATGAAAAGAAACTTCACTACAGATTCAGCAGACATTTAAAAAGTAAGATGATTTAATGAATAATTTCAAAGTAATAAATTTGAAAATTTAGATAAAAGTTTTAAAATTCTACAAAAACTTAACTTTACTAAGGCTGACACATACAAAAAGAAACTCTGAATGATTTTAGATCTACTTAAAAAGTCATTTCATAATTTACAATCTTCCCAAAAAGAAAACTGCAAGCCAAGATAGTTTCACCATCAAATTCTACCTAACATTAGAGAACAAAATAACACTAATACAAATCAGCTATTCCAAAAAAGAAAAAGAAAAAAGAAAGAGAGTTACATAAAGGAAAAGAGTTAAAATGGTTGAAAATGTCATATTTTTAGAATCTCCTCATCCCATTAATTCTGTCACTCTCCCATTTTAGTCATAAAAATGGAAAGATTTTGATGTTAAAAACTTGACAAACTCTTTATGAGAAAAAAGATGCAAAATTCGACAAACCTTTTTACACAAGAAAATAGGTAGAATAATTCTAAAAACTTGAGAATTCTAAAAAATTGAGAAACCAAATCCATTAATATATGAAAAGAATAATACATCACAACCTAACTGAAATGTTTCCAGAAATGCAAGGTTGTTTAACATTTTTAAATCAATCAATAATGGAATATAAAAATCATATGAGTATCTTATAAAAGATACAGAAAAAAGCAATATACAATTATGAATTAAAAAACAAAGCTCCTAGCAAAACATGACAAAAAACTTCCTCAATTTGATTTTTCTTAACTGACAAATACAACTATAAACAGCATACTGAAAGGTGAAAAATTAAAGGCTTTTGTTTCGATATTGGAAACAAGGATTGCTGGATACATGATCAATGTATAAAGACTGGCTGTATTTACATATTTCAGTAACAGAAGATAGTATTTCAAAAAAGATGCTCATTTTCACCAAAAAACAAGAATGTTCATAGCTGTAGCATCCAAAACTGCACAAACTGGAAGAATAAGAAAAACCAAACATCCTTTAACATTGTACTGAGTATGCCGTATACAAAATGCTTGGGGCCAGAAGTGTTATGAATTTTGGAGTTCTCTGGATTTTGAAATATCTGTGTCATATACTTACTGGTTGAGCATCCCTAATCCAAAAATCCAAAATCTAAAATGCTCTAGTGAACATTTCGTTTGAGCATCAAAAGTTTCTATTTTTTTGGAAAATGAGGGTACTTATAAAAGTGGCCTTCCTTACTTATCTATTAATAAAAATCACTAAAACATTTCAATATTATGACATATAATGCATAATATTCTACAATGAATACAATAATATATAATGCACTTGTGAACTGGCACAAAGTAAAAGCAATCACTAAGTAGTAAACAGCTACCAATCGGGGAACCATTATTTTTACTTACCTCAAGGAGACCTGACAAGTACTTCACACATATATCGAGAGGCTTTGTGAGAGGAGAATGTGAGCTCCATCCAGGAAACGCAGTGAGGTTAGCCATCCCTCGTAAGGTCCGCTCAAGGGATGGCAGGCCATAGAAATGCGGTGCATCCGTCACTTTCAGACACTGGAGCAGTTTCAGAGCCAGCTGTGTTTGAAAAACGTAAAGAAGTTCCAAGCATTTCCTAGGGGTGCAAAAGAGGAAAAATCAACCACCAAGAAGTATAGTGGGTTTAATGGGCTATCTCACTGGCTATAAAAGGTTACTTAAACTCATAGTAATAGAAAAATATGAACTAGACAAAACGGCAGAAAGTATTTCCTATCAAATAGAGACTTTTCAAGGAAAGCATAAAATACCAACTAGAGAATATCATATAAAACACAAGTAACAATTACATTGGGCCAGGGGCAGTGGCTCACATCTATAATCCCAGCGCTTCAGGAGCCTGAGGTGGGAGGATTGCTTGTGGCCAGCTTTGGCAACACAACACGGTGAGACCTCATTCTACCAAAAAATAATAATAATAATTTTTTAAAAATTAGCCAGGTGTGGTGGTGCATGCCTATAGTCCCAGCTACTTAGGAAGCTGAGGCAGGAGGATCTCTTAAGCCCAACAGCTCAAGGTTACAGTGAGTTAAGATTGTGGCACTGCACTGCAGTCTGGGTGACATAGTGAAACTCCATCTCTTAAAAAAGAAAAAAAGAGGGAGTGAAGAAAAAAACACAGAATAGGAAGAAAATATTTGCAAATCATGTAAGGGATTAATATCCAGAATATATTAAGACCCCCTACAACTTAACCACAAACAATTCAATTCAAAATTAGCAAAGATGTTGAATAGGCATTTCTCTGAAGAAGATACACAAATAGCCGTAAGAACAGGAAAAGATGCTCAAAATTATTTTTCATGGGGGAAATGCAAATAAAAACCACAATGATACCAGTCTACACTCATTTGGATGGCTATAATAACAAGTGTTATTGAGGATATGGAGAAACTGAAGCACTCATACATTGCTGGTGGGAATGTAAAACGGTATAGTTGCTGTGGAAAACAGCTCGGCATTTCCTAAAAAAGTTAAGCACAGAGGCCGGGCGCGGTGGCTCAAGCCTGTAATCCCAGCACTTTGGGAGGCCGAGGAGGGTGGATCACGAGGTCAAGAGATCGAGACCATCCTGGTCAACATGGTGAAACCCCGTCTCTACTAAAAATACTAAAAATTAGCTGGGCATGGTGGTGCGTGCCTGTAATCCCAGCTACTCAGGAGGCTGAGGTAGGAGAATTGCCTGAACCCAGGAGGCGGAGGTTGCGGTGAGCAGAGGTCGTGCCATTGCACTCCAGCCTGGGTAACAAGAGCGAAACTATCTCAAAAGAAAAAAAAAAAAAAAAAAAAAAGTTAAGCATAGAGTTACCATTACAGCTACCATACAAACCAGCGATTCCACTCCTAGTCATATACTCAAGAGAACTGAAACACATATTCACAGAAAAATCTGTATATGAGTGTTTACAGCAACACTACTGACAACAGCCAAAAGGTAGAAATAGATCAAATGTCCACCAGTGGATGAATGGATAAACAAAACATGGCATATCTATGCCTAGAATATTGCTCAGTCATAGAAAGAAGTAGTGCTAATTGCTACAACATGCAAGGACCTTGAAAACATGATGCTAAGTGAACTAGCTAGGCACAAAAGACCACGTTATTGTTTGATTCCATTTATGTGATATATCCAGAATAGGCAAATCCACAGGCATTGAAAGAAGACTAGTGGTTGCCAGAGCCTGGAGGAACGTATGAATAGGGAGGGGCTTTTTCATAGATACAAGGCTTCTTTTGGGGCTGATGATAATGTTCTGGAATTAGATAGTAGTGACAGTTGCACAATATTTTGGATATACTAAAAACTATTCAAATGCACACCTTAAAATGGTTAAAATAATGACTTTTATCTTAATTTTTTTAATTTTTAAAAATAGAATTCATAACTTCAGATATGTATTTGAGAGTCATCAGTGTAAAGATATCATAAAGTCATAGGCATAGGTATGGCTGCTCGAGTAGATTTGTAGATAATTAAGGGAAGACCAGGAATTAAACCCTAGAGAACAAAACACTGTGTGTGTGTACACATGTGAGTGCATGTGTGCATGTGTGTAGTGAAGGAGATCATGCATGTACAATCAGGCTGTAACAGATTCAACTGAAGCAAAAACAAACAGAATACTGTAACTGATTGTTACTTAAGTATTTGAAAGAAGTATTTCTTAATTTGAAAGCAGTACAAAATTTGAAATTCAAAGAAAAATCAGGTTCTATACTAATGCACATAAACGTTCAATGTTACAAATGGTACCTGTCATTAACGTCCATGAAATTGAGCAGCAAGGTATCAAAAAGAGCAATCAGTTCTTTCTGAAGTTGTTGCCTGACAGCAGTCCGGATATCATCTGTCTCTTCTCGTGCCTGTGACTCTGTCAGAACCAAGAGGTCTAACAGTGGGTTTGCACTCTAAAAAATGAAATTTGTAAAAAATACATTTACTAATGGAACTACGTACTGTTTCCTATAAAGGTTTTTCTTGCTAACTACGTTCTAGATTAACTATGAGTTATATTACCTAACTAGTAGGTGTGGGCCTTTACTGTACTAGTAGAGATGTTCTAAATTCAAAAGATGTTTAATATGTTCTCAACAAATAAAAGCATCTTTATGATAGAAAACAGAAAAAGGACAATGAGAAAAACAAAACCACACATAATCATGCCACACAGAAATTGCCACTGTTATTTATTGATACATAACACCGCTTTTTGTTTCTGAGAATATAAACAGAATTAAAACTAGACATTTTCACAAACCCGCATCAAGTGAAAAAATTCACTACTGTAACCATTTTTCCCTGCTTCCTGTTATTAACAATATTTCTGCCAAAACATTAGTTTAATATCTGATTGTTTTTCAACAATAAGGATTACCATATTAACTCCTGGATAATCAATGATGCATAATTTCACTAAGCCGCAACACACAGTGTACTCAAGTTGGATTTTATCTTACATATGAATTCCACAATGAAATTACTAAATCAAAATATTATTATACTTTTCATCTTTTTTTTATATATAGTGCCAAACTGTCCCTGTACAAATGTACCAGTAAATACAATTACACAGAATGGGAAAAGACCCAGAGCACCCAAACCAATGCTATGTGATCATTACTACTATAATCTTTGACAACTTCATAGGCTAGTAAACAAATACTAGTGCTTTCTAAAACTTCTCTTTTCCCAACAACAAAAAATATATATATATAGCTAAAAAAAATAAAAGGATTATTTCTAACAATATTGAGAAAAGAAAATATTACACTAATCAGAAGCATTAATAGATATATGGAACATTTATTAATCATCTACGATGTTTCAGGCACTGTGCTAAAAAGATAATAAGATTTCATTTAACTTTTTGACTAAACTTGAAGATTTGCATTTTCATTCCTGTTTTACACATAGGAACACAGATTTACAATGAGGTTAAATAACTGTCTAAGTCACAGACAAAGGCAGAGCAAGAAGTACCTTACTCCAAAGCTAGTTAATATTCCATCCTCAGCATAGTGCCACATCACTAGTGCATATAACAACATACGAAAAGAGATAAAATCAAAATGTAATTACTGTTCTTATAAAATCCTTCACCTAAAGAGAACTCAATTCAAAATTAATTGCAGTCTCTTTAGGGAAGAGAAATGAAAATATGTAAAGAAACCTCTAAATTGCTTATAACATATAGAGATAGATACAATTATAAATAATATAACTGAGAGTGTTTAGAAACTATTTAGTAGAGACATTTTGCTCTTATTTTACAGTGTTTTAACATCTAAACAGTATTTTTCCTAACTTTTTATCTTAAGCAATGTATGTCTTTGGATAAATTAAAATTGCATAAGACATAACTGCAACTTTTATGTTTCATGCATGAACAAAAGAATCCAAATTCATACTTTAGTAAAGTCATAAAAATAAATATATTTTCTATAGTGTTCTGAATCCTAAATATCCAAAAGCTGACTCACACTCACACGCCTGCTGACTCTGAAAACTACTGACGAAACGAACAAACTATTTATGCCAAGATGCAGACTCCATCTTGATAAAACATAATTTCATTATCAGAAATGATTAATTTTGATAATACTGATAAAAATTAAGTAGAAGCTACTATTAATACATCAACATACTGATACAGTATGTGTATACATAAAATTAAGATTCTCCCACAGAATCTCATCCTATTAATAACTTGTTTCTGCTTGAAGATTACTGAGATTTTTTCTCTTTTTATTTTTGACATACATGGTAACATTGAAATTCATTGAACCTTAGCAACACCAGTTCTAAAATAGTAGGTGAATTACCATTTCTCAAGTACAACAGAGTAGAATAAGATGCCTCTACTGATGCTTACAGATGTCAAGTGCTTAATCATATTGGAAGTTTTTGTCTTTAGACATTAGTATTCAATCCTAATTTTAAACCAACTACTTGGGCCATTATTTTGTCACTGTTGACCTCTAAAAGGCAACAATTTCTATAATGATGGCTCGTTTTCTTTATGCACACAATGTTACCACTCATCATATCCAATTTTACATCCATCAGCAAGCTATGCCGAAAGGATGTGCAAGGCCCTCAATAAAGTCTGAGTGCACATAAGCCTGTTATGGGAAAGTCAGCCAAGGAAAATATGTATACTATACAGTTCTGCAGAGCTTCACAAAAGAGAAAAAAACTAACAGCTTCACATTTATGAATTATGAATTTCCATCGAAAATGGATTCTGAAAAGAAAGATATTCAAAATTGGCATTTCTAGATTGTTATATACTAACAAAATATCATATTTTAAAAGATTATAAAAAATTAACTATAAAAAATATTTAAAAATCGTAAATTGCCTAAGAATTATAATATGTTTATAATAAATGAATGTCTTGATAAAACACATAGAAAAAATTTTCACAAGAGAAAATTCCCGAAATCTTACCTCAGGAAGTTAGGTGATTTTTCTTTTCACTTCCTCTTAGCATTCTTCTGACTAATCAGGCATTAATATCTGCCTAATTTTGTTTTTGCAACCACAGCCATTGTATATCTTTTCATGTATGTCCATACACTCAAAACAATTTACTTGGAAATGTTATTTTACCAAACTTCTTAAATCATTTCTTACTTATTTTACTCACTCAAAAGGATGAACTTTAAAAGGTACTTCATTTTCTATTTTCAGGTTCCCTTTATCTTAAACATTGGTAGTTCTATAACACATATTAATTTATCTTGCAGCATAATATTTAGGGAGTGAACCCTCCTGACAGTGAATACTTAAGTTCACTTTTGTGCAATCTTAAAAGTATTATTACTTATAACACTTGTGGTGATAATATATGAGATAAAGTAGAAGCTTTCCAAAGAAAGGTTTAATACGATACAAAGTCAAGTAAGTAAATGTAATTGTACCAAAAATCCTTTTCAAAAACTGCATTAAAATTATAGTATAATCATTTAGAGTCTTGTAGGAATTTCATTTTAATTTCATAACTATGAATACATTATAAAATATATATCAACACGTATGACATACTACAAAATTAACAGTAATTTAAATGTATGGTGTTACGAATCTTAACAAATGTAACAAGATTGAAGTCATATTTAGTATCGTTTCTGATCATAACAATAAAAAACTAGTAAGTCAACAAAAGATGGAATTCTGGAATAGTAACATATACATAGAAACTAAGCGGCACACTCCTGAACAAACAATGGATCAAAGAAAAAGCTAAAAGGTAAAATTTAAAATGTCTTAACAAACAAAAATGAACAAAAAACCAACCAAAACTTATGGAATGCAGCAGAGCAGGTCTAAGAAGGACATACATAACAGTAAACATTTATAACAAAAAAGAAAGATATCAAGTAAACAATCTCAAAGAAATAGAAAAAGAATAAATGAAGCCAAAACTTAATAAAAAGTAAGAAAATAATGAAGATCAGGGCAGATACAAATGAAATAGAAACTGGAAAAACAATAGAAAAGATCAACAGAAGCAAGAATTGAAATTGTGGAGATAAAAAAAATTGACAAACCTTTTGCTAGTCTAATTAAAAAAAGAAGACAAATAAAATGAGAAGCAAAAGAGGAGACATTACAACTGATACCAGAGAAATACAAGATATTATAAGAAAATTATGAACAATTTCACACCAACAAATTGGACAACCAAATGGAAAAAAAAATCCTAGACACACGGAGCTACCAAGACTAAATCATGAAGAAACAGAAAATCGGAATAGACCGGTGACAATGAGATTAAATCAGTAATAAGTCTTTCAGAAAAGAAAATCCCAAGACCCGATTGATGGCTTCACTCTGAATTCTACCAAACATTTAAAGAAGCATTAATACTAATCTATATACTGTTCTAAAAACAAATGAAGAGGAATACTTCCAAACTCATTTTATGACGGCAGGATTCCACTGCTACCAAAGCCAGACAAGGGCACTGCAAGAAAAGAAAATTACAGGCTAATATCCCTGATAAACACAGATATAAAAATCCTCTAGTAAATACCAGCAAACTGAAACTAAGAGCACAATAAAAAGCTCATTCACCATATCTCAAAATAATAAAAGCTATTTATAATATATCCACAGCCAATATCACATCAAATGGGCAAAAACTGGAAGCATTCCCTTTGAAAACTGGTACAAGGCAAGGATGCCCTCTCTCACCACTCCTATTCAACATGGGATTGGAAGTTCTGGCTGGGGCCATCAGGCAAGAAAAAGAAATAAAGTGTATTCGAATAGGAAGAGAGGACATCAAAGTGTCCCTGTTTGCAGATGACATGATTGTATGTTTTTAAAACCCCACTGTCTGAGCCCCAAATCTCCCTAAGTTGATAAGCAACTTCAGCAAAGTCTCAGGACAAAAAAAAATCAATGTGCAAAAGTCACAAGCATTCCTATACACCAATAACAGACAAACAGAGAGCCAAATCATGAGTGAACTCCCATTCACAATTGCTACAAAGAGAATAAAATACCTAGGAATACAAATAACAAGGGATGTGAAGGATCTCTTCAAGGAGAACTAGAAACCACTGCTCAAGGAAATATGAGAGGCTACAAACAGATGGAAAAACATTCCATACTCATGGTTAGGAAGAATCAATATCATGAAAATGGCCATACTGCCCAAAGTAATTTATAGATTCAATGCTACCAATGACTTTCTTCATAGAATTGGAAAAAAACTCCTTAAACTTCATATGGAACCAAAAAAGAGCCCACATAGCTAAGACAATCCTAAGAAGGGGAAAAAAAAAAAGCTGGAGGCATCACATTACCTGACTTCAAGCTATACTGCAAAGCTACAGTATTCAAAACAGCATAGTACTGGAACCAAACAGAGATACAGACCAATGGGGCAGAACACTGGCTTCAGAAGTAACACGACACATCTACAACCATCTAATCTTTGACAAGTCTGACAAAAACAAGCAGTGGGGAAAGGATTTACTATTTAACAAATGATGTTGGGAAAACCAGCTGAACTTATGTAGAAAGCTAAAACTGGACCCGTTCCTTACACCTTACACAAAAATTAACTCCAGGTGGATTAAAAATTTAAACATAAAACCTAACACCATAAAAACCCTAGAAGAAAACCTAGGCAATACCATTCAGGACATAGGCATAGGCAAGGATTTCATGACTAAAACACCAAAAGCAATCGCAACAAAAGCCAAAATAGACAAATGAGATCTAATTAAACTTAAGAGCTTCTGCATAGCAAAAGAAACTGTCATTAGAGTGAACTGGCAACCAACCGAATGGGAAAAAAGTTTTGCAACCTACCTACCTGATAAAGGGCTAATAACCAGAATCAATAAAGAACTTAAACAAATTTGCAAGAAAAAAAACAAACAACCCCATCAAAAAGTGGGCAAAGGTTATGATCAGACACTTTTCAAAAGAAGACATTTATGCAGCCAACAAACGTATAAAAAAAGCTCAGCATCACTGGTCATTAGAGAAATGCAAATCAAAACTACATTGAGATATCACCTCACACCAGTTAGAATGGCGATCATTAAAAAATCTGGAGACAACAGATGCTGGAGAGGATGTGGAGAAATAGGAACACTTTTACAGCTTGGTGGGAGTGTAAATTACTTCAACCATTGTGGAAGACAGTGTAGGGATTTCTCAAGGACCTAGAACTAGAAATACCATTTGACCCAGCAATCCCATTACTGGGTATATACCCAAAGGATTATAAATCATTCTATTATAAAGACACATGCACACATGTTTATTGCAGCACTGTTTACAATAGCAAAGACTTGGAACCAACCCAAGTGCCCATCAATGATAGACCGGATAAAGAAAATGTGGCACATATACACCATGGAACGCTATGCAGCCATAAAAAAGGAGGACTTCATGTTCTTTTCAGGGGCATGGATGAAGCTGGAAACCATCATTCTCAGCAAACTGAGACACAAGAACAGAAACACCACATGTTCTCACTCACAAATGGTGTTGAACAATGAGAACACATGGACACAGGGAGGGGAACATCACACACTGGAGCCTGTCAGGGGTAGGAGGGTTATGGGAGGGCTAGCAGGGGGTGTGGGGATTGGGGAGGGCTAACATTCAGAGAAATATCTAATGTAGATGATGGGGAGATGGATGCAGCAAACCACCATGGCAAGTGTATACTTATGCGACAACCCCAGAACTTACAGTAATAAAAAAAGGAGATGCAGATAACTAGTAAATTAATTTGATATATTTTGATTTATGGATTAAAATCAGTCTTTTTATCTCCATTTTCTTCAATTAAAAAAATATATTCAAACATTAAAAAAAGAAAAAGAAAAAAAGCAAGTTAAGTTGTCCCTCTATGCTGATAAGATAATCTTGAATCTAGAAAAACCCAAAGACTCTAACGAAAACTTCTATCTGACAAATTAATTCAATAAAGTTGCAGGATACAAAATCAATATATAAAAATTAGTAGCATTTCTATACACTATCCGCCCCCCCAATCCCATTTAAAATAGCTGCCAAAATATTTTAAGATTTTAGGAAATTTAGGAATAAACTTAATCAAAAGGTGAAAGATCTCTACACTAAAATGTCAAAGTTGCAGATACCAGAATAAAAGCATGCTCCAAGGAGACAGAAAGGCAGGAGAGAGGAAAAAGGAAAGGAAAAAGTGAAGGGGAAAGGGAAGGGAGAAGGGAAGGGAGGAAAAGAAAGAAGATAGGAAAGAAGAAATGAAAGGAGACCAACAACCCAACAGTAGAGGAAAACTAGCAAGGACATCAAGAGACAATTCACGAAAAGACCAAACACGAAAAACTCTCCATCTAATTCAAAATAAGTTATCTGTTATAAAACCACAAAACCTCAATACACACACACCTTGACAATTTGACTCAGCAATTACAATTCTAGAAATTCAGTCTATAAATATACTTGCATATGTAAGTAACTTTGAACATAATACATGATTTCCATTCTTGTTCTATCTTAAGTTTTAAAAGTAAGGTTATGTGTGCTTCTTATAATTAACTTCACAGCTTATTCCTGAGTTAATAAGTATTTATTGAGAGCTCACTATGAGTAAGGCACTATAGTAAATGCTGGGTATGTAATAATGAACGAAACAGTCCCAGAACAAAACTACTTTCACCAGTCTTCAATAAAGGAAAAGATAATTACTATGGCTTGAATGTTCCCTCCAAAATTCATGTTGAAATTTAATCCCCAAAGTGAAAGTATTGACAGGTGGGGACTTTAGAGGTGACTGGATCACGAAGGTCCTAGCCTCATGAATGCACTAATCCATTTTGGATTAGTGGATTAAGAGTTATCATGGAAGGGGAACTAGTGGCTTTGTAAGAAGAGAAAAACCTGAGATAGCACATTAGCATGCTCAGCCCTCCCACCATATGATACCCTGCACCACCTCAGGACTCTTGAGAGAGTCCCCACTAGCAGGAAGACTCATTTCAGATGTGTCCCCTCAAACTTGGACTTCCCAGACTCCGTAACAGTTAAGAACTAAATTTTGTTTTTTATAAATTACCCAGTTTCTTATGTTAGAAGCAACAGAAAACAGAATAAGATAATAATAAACATCTAAATATGTTTTGTATAAACACATTCATATCAATTAGCATTTCTAACAACACATCAATTCATATTTTTACAGAAAAATTATTTCTATGTTTTGCAAATGTATTACTACTATATAATGAAACATATTTGTCTTATAAGATCCACTATCTCCTATATCAGTTTAGGCCCTATTTTCTAGGATTTTTTTCTTAATTGTGCAAAGGTTTATCTTAGCTAAGTTGAGTACATTCATATGATATTTGCAAATAAATACATAAACAGAGAGACCAACAACAGGGAGCTGGCGTCCTGGGTTCTTCACAAGTTTCTCAGAATAATAAATCTGAATAGCTAAAATTTTTAGAGTAGCAATTTAGACAAATTTTAGAATTTTTAGAAGATCTAAAAATCTGAGAGTAGTCGGGGATAGAAGGGTAAATAATCCAGTAACCCTGAAAGCCTGAGCAGTTTTACTCATTCTTTATAACTTCACCATCACTATACCCCTCCTACCTCCATCTGGCTTCCTCAGCTAACTCCCAACATGCCTATCTGGACATCCACCCTGTCTCCTGTCACCAGAACTGAAATTCCTACTTAAAAACACAATTGCAGGCCGGGTACAGGTGGCTCAAGCCTATAATCCCAGCACTTTGGGAGGCCAAGGCAAGTGGATCATGAGGTCAAGAGATGGAGACCATCCTGGTCAGCATGGTGAAACTTCATCTATACTAAAAATACAAAAATTAGCTGGGCATGGTGGTGCACACCTGTAGTCCCAGCTACTCAGGAGGCTGAGGCAGAATTGCTTGAACCCACGAGGCAGAGGCTGCAGTGAGCCAAGATCACGCCATTGTACTCCAGCCTGGGTAACAAGAGCGAAACTCCATCTCAAAAAAAAAAAAACAAAAAACAATTGCAGTAATCCCAGCACTTTGGGAGGCTGAGGAGGGCAGACCACAAGGTCAGGAGTTCGAGACCAGCCTGATCAACATGGTGAAACCCCGTCTCTACGAGAAACACAAAAATTAGCCGGGCATAGTGGCATATACCTGTAATCCCAGCTAATCAGGAGACTGAGGCAGAAGAATCGCTTGAACTCAGGTGGCAGAGGTTGCAGTGAACCCAGATAGTGCCATTACACTCCAGCCTGGGTGACAGAGCAAGACTCCATCACAGAAAAAAAGAAAAGAAAAGAAAAGAAAAAAATACAGTTGAAGCAGAAAGTTCATATGCAGAACAGGTTTTATTAAATACCAAGACTGTAGGTCCCATTCATTGTATCGAATTTTAATAAACGCATTCACAATCATATCAGGAAAGCCATGTTGTTATGAGCTATTCATTACATGAGGATTACTTTACCAAGCACAGGCAATATAAAAATTATCCTTTTCCATAATATAATGTTAATGATTTCTACAAATAAGCTACTTCTCAAATTTAAAATCCAAATTCTTTAACAACACTTACATGTCTAAGAAGTAATTCTAGAATCCAGTTCAGAAGTTCCAGTGAATAATTTTTTCTTTGTTCTTTTATTAATTTATTTAAAAAATGTATGATATCTATTAGCAGTTTCTCATCTTCAGTGGAAGCAGGAAGCACTTGTAAAAACCTATAATGAAAAGACAATAATCATGGTTTCTAGTTCTTTAAAATACATATTTCCACTGTTTATCATGGATATGTGGTTTTAACAAGTGTCTTATGAGGATGCTATTTTATGAGATACTGTTCTAAATGCTTTGAAAAAGGCAAAGTTGAAATAAACTGGGTATCTGCCTTCAAAAACCTGAGCTTATAGTAGGAAAAAACATGTGGACAAGAAACTAATTAAAATAACTAGAAGTGACAAGTATCAGAAAAGGAAAAATAACAAATTCAGAAAAAGTACCAAAAAATACCAAGGAGAAATATACTTCCGCTAACTGTCCAATGAAACTTGGTTTTTCATAATGGGAATGCCATATTCCACTGATAAGAAGAATTAGTACTTCAAAACAGTACTACAAGAGAATAAGGTAATAAAGTGAGAGAAAAAAGGTCCTGCAAGGATGCTACCAGAGTTTTAACAGGCAAGAGAAACACTGAAGGGAGACCTAGGATGAAATTTCTGTGTAAATTTGGAGTAAAAGGATATCAGCCAATTTTCTGCGATTTCTTTAAAAAAAAAAAAAAAAAAAAAACTGGTATAAGTGAGCTGAAAGATTAATAGACAAACTTTTATTTAAAAGGGAGCAGTCTGGAAAATCATTTTTTAAAAAGGCAATTAGGAAGAGATACAATGAGATTCAATTTTATCTGTAATGTTTTATTTTTTATAAATCTAAAGCAATTGCATCAAAATGTTAATAAGAGTGACAATAATACTAATCATAATACACAGCATTTATTGAGCACCAACCTTGTGCCAGCCTATGGTCTAATAGCAGAATTTTTATCAAACTTAATAACAACAGTATGAAGTGGGTACCTCTTATTTCAAAGACAAGAAGACTCAAGCAAAAATACGGTTAAGTCGTTTCTTCAGTCACACAGCTAGCAAGTTTTAAAACGTGAATACTAAACTAAGCAGTCCAACACCAGGGATATATAAATGCTGTAATTCTTAGTAATGTCGTGTTTGTCTCATTATTATTTTTTATTTAAAATTCCCACATCCCCAAAATGACATTCAGCTGCATAGGACAGCAAGTGTAAGATTATAAAAACTGAGATTAGAAAAATACTCTGAAAGAATGGAATGAACAGATGAATTTAACAACCACAGATATTTGGAAGAGCTATGATTTAACAATCATAAGGATTACAAGAAGTCTTCCATGATATCATTTTATATCCACCCTCATATCCTTTAAATCCAAGTGTACTATCCTCTTTTCAATGACTCCTGAAGACACAAGACACTCTTTCCTAACTTGGAGTCTTATCCATTTGGCTTATTTTTTTAAATTTAATTTTTATAATATTTATTGAATATGGCATTTTGCTCCAGAGAAGAAATAATATCGTCCATAAGTGGTTATTCATTTATGGACTTTTTTTTTTTTTTTTTGAGACAGAGTTTCACTCTTGTTGCCCATGCTGGAGTGCAATGGCGCAGTCTCGGCTCACTATAACCTCCGCCTCCCGGGCTCAAGTGCTTCTCCTGCCTCAGCCTCCTGAGTAGATGGGATTACAGGTACACGCCACTAGGCCCAGCTATTTTTTACATTTTTTGTAGAGACAGGGTTTCACCATGTTGACCAGGCTGGTCTCAAACTCCTGACCTCAGGTGACTGTCCTACCTTGGCCTACCAAAGTGCTGGGACTACAGGCATGCACCACCATGCCCAGCCCATTTATGGATTCAAAGTATCAAATTTCTGCCACATAACATGCACCAAACTATATCCCACTTATTTGTTTTATTTTTAAGAAATAATAATTGTATATACCCTTAGGGTACAATGCGGTGTTCTGACACATTTATACATTGTGGAATGACATAATCAGGCTAATTAACATACCCATCACCGCAAATATTATTTTTGTGGTGAGAACATTTAACATCCATTCTTTTAGCTATTTTGAAATACACATTGTTATTATTAACTAGAGTCATTATGCTGTATTAGATCACCAGAACTTATTCCTCTTGTCTAACTGCAATTTTGGGCCCTTTCAGCAACATTTCTCTACCCTTTCTTCATTTCTCCTCCCCTTACTCTACCCACATCCCCTGCCACTTGCCTCTGGTAACAATTCTACTCTCTACTTCTATGAATTAGACTTTTTTAGATTGCATACATAAGAGAGATCATGTGGTATTTGTTTCTCTGTGAGCCTGGCATCTTTTCTGCTTCCAATCCCATAGACTTTTAACATCCTTCTACCTGTTATGCCTTGGCTTAAGCTTCATTCTCTGAACCACTTCCTCTTTACTGAAGAGAGAGAAGGTACTCCTCTAACAGACTTTCATAATAGTCTGCTTAGAAGCATTCCTATTTTTGATTATACTTTTAGCTGTCTTAATTGCACGTTCCATGAAAGCAGGACCCTATCAATTTTGCTGACTGCTACATTTCCTACAAGAGTGATACCTCGTAAGTGATCAACAAATGTTTGCTGAATGACGGAAAAGCAGTTGGAAAAGACAGACAGTAGTCCCTTTCTTCCTGTTCACCCCATGCCACAGTACCACACCCTATGTAAGTCATGTCCAGATCTCAGGGAGAGTCCTAAGAAACACAATACTCTTGTAAAATGGCAGAAACAAATGAGAAGTCTGGACACTGTGGCTTTTAAAGTATATCTACAACACCAAACCATTTAAAGCAGGGTGGGGGGAATAGAGAAGAAATTATGGTTATGTTTAAATGAAGAGTTGTCACATGTGAAGACAGTATTTATTCTGTGAGTTTAAAGGACAGAATAATAGGTAGAAATGACCAGGTACAATTCAAAAGAGCAAAAAACTCACTAATAATCACAGCTCAGAAACAGAATGAGTATCCTTCAAAGGAGGTATTCATGCTGAGGCCACATAGCCACTTGACAGGGATACCCAGAAGGGAATTCACCAAGTACACAGCTGGACTGAATGAGCTCTAAGGTCTCTCCAACTCATCCACTTTATGTTTATTAGGAGTCAACTGTATACTATGACTTATGCCATAGGTGAGGGATATAAAAAGGAATATAATAAACCCAAGGCATATGAGAAGACAAATATTTAAACCACTGTAGAAGTAATGCAGGAAAGCCACGTGACAATTATGGTAACTACAATTCCACAAACGTTACAGAGGAAGAACACCTTGGAGCTCAAGGAGGAGTAGATATTCACAAAGCAGCCAGGGAGTTAACTATGTAAAAGTGAGGGGGTATAGAATGGAAGTTTATGCCCTAAAATATCCAGCAGTTTCCAAAAACCCCAATATTTGTACTTCATAGAAACACAATGTATGTTAGAGACACAGAAAATGAAACTGAAAAGGTAGGCAAGTGGCAGATCAAAAAGAACTTTCTACAGCATGCAAAGGGATTTGAATTCTATTAATATCTAGTATACCATGGAAAAGAATCCACAGGTGACATGTATTTTAGAAGGATCATTCAGAAAGCAACATAAATGAGTGGCATAAGGTTAAAAGCAGAAAAACCAATTCACTAATCATTCTATAGTTCAGTAAAAAATGGTGAAAAACAGTAGCAATAGGACTTTTACTAGGAAAGGGGTAGAGAGACATTAAACAGGCAAAACAACAGAAGCTAGCTGAAAGAAGATTCTAGATACCTCTAACAACTGGTAATCCTACTAAATCATGACTATCACCTATTTTCTTAAAATAAGTTTCCAAAATGATATTAGATTATAACAGCATGTTTGTGTCTTAGCATATACATATAAAAACATACACATAAATTAATGTTGGACTGTTAAAATAATCAGCAAATGCAGCCATCTGCTACGATCTAATCATGTTAAACTGACAAGCTAGAGCCTTCTCAATAACTGCTATAAAGAACTTCCACGTGGCAATCAACTTTGTGAAATTCAGAGTAAAAAGAAAAATGATACAATTTACCTAAGAACAAAACAAAAGCAAAACAAAACAAAACAGCCTGTGGCAGGTGTACCAAACCAATTAATTCACTGATGTTTCAACTCATTTATAATATGGACAGAAATAAACATTCAACTTGTTTCATCCATGTCTTATCCTAATGATTTACTTTTGTGAGGTAAAGTTTTCTAAGGATAATAAACTGTTGTAAGTTTATTAATAATCCCCTCAACAATGCAATGACTAAATTAAAAATCTATCTTTGGCTATTACAGATGATAAAAATCCTGGAGTTTTTCTATGATAGCAACAGTAAGGGTATAGACTCTTATCTTCAAAGAACTGGAGATGAATACAATACAATACAATCCAGGTCTTTGAAACTGGCAGACTTGACCTCACACTGACCTGTTCAGTGCGGTGTGCCAAGCCAAGGACTTCAAGGTAGCCCCACACGAACCAGGGCCACCCTTTAAAGACAATCTGTCATTCAGAAGATAAAAACTCATCCTAGTGACAGCGGCCCTAACTTCTCTGTGGGTTGCAGCCTCAGCAATGGAATGGAGGCAGTCCTGCAGCCCACTAGCCACGTGTGTTATCTTCAGAGTGAGGATGTCCTCTGCGGATAACTTCATTGTATCCAAAAATCTAGACATAAAGAAAAAAAGAAAGAGGAACATAAAGCTATTTAAATAAAAACTCACATTTATTTCTATTATAAACTCTCCCAAAAGTTGTTTTATCTTCATTTTCTTTTAATAAAAGATTGACTTACAGTGAAAAGAAAACTGATATGTATCTGTCAAAATCAGAATTTTACATTGGCATACCAAATGTTTATACCGACTTTTCCTCCTCAAAAAAAAAAAATTTTATTCACATAAGACTGACAGATTAGCATATTAAGATACTCAAAAGTAATCACTATCACAGTAATAACACTTATGCATATACTTACTGAGATTTTATTCTAATCCAGAATCCTTTTCCTAGTGATTCACATCTATGAACAAATCACAGTTTAAATAATCTCTAAAAGAGCAAAGAGTAAAATGTTTTTTCATTTAAAATTTTCTTTTATGATAGATTGTGAAAAGTAATAAATACATGTAATCTTTAAAAATAAAAATTACAACTGTTAAAAGGCAGAATCAGATGACATCAAGGGAAAAGTTACTGGACCTAAGGAAAAAGTAAAACCTAACTAATTAATTACAATTAATTAATTGCAAATACTTTTTCAACTAATATGAGAGCTTACTCTTGTGTTTTAGTTTCAGAGTTCATTTGCTTCAACAGATTATCACTCCCATGATACCATGACAGGTTCCAAGCTATTTTCAGCATATCTGACACCGGCTTCAAGGCCAAACAATCAGCAGATAAGGGCAAAACTATGGAGTAAGGACTCACAGCATGGTGTCCGATTACATGAACAGGTAGATGATACCTAAAGGAAATGTAAAAACAATTACAAACTTTCAAATTCTTAAATGCTACTCAAAAAGATGAGCCACAAATGAGGGCTAGTTCAATGCCTCCCAACCCACAATAATGCAAATATTTCTCTTAGTCCCTATTTTAAACAGTTATCATAATTTACACAGTATTTCATTAATCTTTCCATCTCCTCTAAATTCCCCAGAATACTTAAACCCTTCCTTGAGAACTTACCCCATTCTATGCTATATTACAGTTGTTCTGGAGATAACTAATGCTCCTTGAAGTCAGGGCCCATGAATATAGTGAACCTAACATAAAAGGTGTTCAGCTAAAACACTGGTATCTACTTTATGCCAAACACTGCTTATTATGTATCACTCATTCACAGTTACACATATGGCACTATAATACCTATTTTACAAATGATCAAAATGAGGCTTAAAGCTGACAAATGAATTGCCTATGATCACAGAGGTCGCTAAGGGACTGAATTCAAACTTATTATTTTCAACTGAGAACACAGTTTCATCATCAATAAATTCAACAAGAACCAAGATATATGTTTAGAAATAAAAACAGATTCAACAGCAGTATCTCTTGAACCAAATATCAATAGCAATATCTCTTACACCAAAGTTAATTTTGTTCTATCATAAAGACACATGCATGTACACTTTGTCTCATTTTTCCTTTAACATGGCGAAATAATCTGACATTTGCATGTAAATTTGCATCCTAGAAGGAACAAAAAGAAATTTAAAAAAATGTATATTGAACAAAACATAATCCTAAATAGCCAAAAGAATCCTGAGCAAAAAGAACAAAGATGGAGCCATCACACTGCCAGACTTTGAATTATGCTACAAAGCTATAGTAACCAAAACAGCATGATACTAGCATAAAAGCAGACACATAGACCAATGAAACAGAATAAAGAACCCAGAAATAAATCCGCACATTTAGTCAACTTTCAACAAAAGCACCAAGAGCATACTTTGGGGAAAGAACTGTCTCTTCAACAAATGGTACTCAGAAAACTGGCAGAAAAATAAAACTAGACCTCTATCTCTCACCACATACAAAAATCAAATTACAGACTTAAATGTGAGACCTGAAACCATGAAACTACTAGAAGAAAACATTAGAGAAATGCGTCAGGACATTGGCCTGGGCAAAGATTTATTGAGTAAGACCTCAAAAACACAGGCAAGCAAAGCAAAAATAAACAAGTGGCAAGCAAATAACAAAATAAACAGGCAAGCAAAGCAAAAATAATCACATCAAGCTAAAAAGCTTCTGCATAGCAAAGGAAACAGTCAACAAAGTGAAGAGTCCCTTATAGTCTGAGAAAATATCTGCAAACTATTCAACTGACAAGAGATTAACAACCAAAATATATAATGAATTTTAACAACTAACACAAAATTATAATAATCCAATTAAAAACTGGGCAAAAGATCTGAATAGACACTTCTTAAATGAAGACATATAAATGACCAACAGTTATATGAAAAAATGTTCAACATTACCAATAATCAGAGAAATACTGATAAACTACAATGAAATATCATCTCACCCTGATTGAAAAGGCTTTTATCAAAAAGACAAAAAACTAACAGATGCTGGCAAGGATGTGGAGGAAGGAGAATGCTCATATACTGTTAGGGGAAATGCAAATTAGTATAGCCACTATTGGAAACAGTATGGAGTTCCTCAGAAAAAACTAAAAACAGAACCTACATATGATCCAGCAATCCCACTGCTGGGTATATATCCAAAAGAAAGAAAATCAGTATGTCAAAGAGATATTTACATTCCCATGTTTATTGCAGCACTATCACAATAATCAAAATATGGAATCTACCTAAGAGTCTAACAATAGATGAACAGATTAAAAAAAAAAAATGTGGTATACATACACAATGGAATATGATTCTGACGTAAAAAAGAATAAAATCCTGTCATATGCAACAACATGGATAGATGGAACTGGAAGTCATTATGTTAACTGAAATAATCCAGGCACAGAAAAACAAATATCACATGTTCTCCTTTATATGTGAGAGCTTAAAAAAAAAAAAAAAAATTGAGCTCATGGAGATGAAGAGTAGAATGATGATTACCCCAGGCTGTAAAGAGTGGTGGGGAAGAGCAGAATCAAGAAGGGATGGCTAATGGGCACATAAAAATCTAGATAGAAGGAATAGAAGGAATAAGTTATAGTGTTCAGTAGCACAATAGGGTAACAATAGTTAATAGTAATTTGTTGTATATTTCAAAATAACTATAAGAGCAGATCTGAAACGTTCCTAATACAGAGAATCGATAAATGTTAGAGGTAATGGACATCTTTTTTTTTTTTTTTTTTTTTTTTTTTTGAGCCGGAGTTTCGCTCTTGTTACCCAGGCTGGAGTGCAATGGCACGATCTCAGCTCACCGCAACCTCCACCTCCTGGGTTCAGGCAATTCTCCTGTCTCAGCCTCCTGAGTAGCTGGGATTACAGGCACACGCCACCACGCCCAGCTAATTTTTTGTATTTTTAGTAGAGACGGGGTTTCACTATGTTGACCAGGATGGTCTCGATCTCTTGACCTTGTGATCCACCCGCCTCGGCCTCCCAAAGTGCTGGGATTACAGGCTTGAGCCACCGTGCCCGGCTGATAATGGACATCTTAATTACTGATTTTATCATTATACATTGTAAGCTTATATCAAAATGTCATGTACTCCATAAATATTTAATATTGTGTATCTATAAAAATAATTTCCTCCAAATAAATAAGCAAGCAAGCAAAGTGCTGTGGAATAGTTGGAGGAACTCCTAAAGGAATGGGGAACACAGTTCCTTCAAAGAAGCAGCAATCAAACTGACAGCCAACACTCCAACCAAAAATGGACTCCAACTGCCAACCTAGAATTCTATGCCTAGTGAAAACATTGTTTAAAACAGAAAAAAGGTTTAGATTAAGAAGAAAACTGGGCAAAAATCATTTCTAATGTAAGGGTACTACATTAAATAATAAAAACCTCTTCAAAAAAAAAATTCTCAGATGGAGGCAGAAAAAACAAAAAAGGAATAAAAGATAACAGAAATAACCAATACATACAAATCTAAATGAGTATTTATTGCATAAAATAATGATAATAACATCTTTTAAAATTTAAAATACGTATAGAATTTACATAGGAGGAAAAAAAAAGAGAGCAAATAAATGGAGTTAATGCAATCTAAGGTCCTTGAATTGTCTGGAATGTGGTAAAAAATACTAGCTTGCAGTCAAGGAAGTAAATTATAATGTCTTGATTATAAAAATTATAGTCATCTATATAAAAGAATATACAGAAATAATGTATATAGAAGAATACTTGGCTGGGCATGGTGACTCATACCTGTAATCCCAACCCTTTTGGGAGGCTGAGGTGGGAGAACTATTTGAAGCTAGGAGTTCAACACTAACCTGGGCAACAAGGCAAGATCCCAATCGCTACAAATGAATAGAATAGAATAGAATAGAATAGAGTAGAATAGAATACTTAATGTATGCATAACTACAAGTTAACAGCTGAAAAAACTGGACTAATTTTAAAAATTAATCAAGAAAAGCCAGAGAAAAAAAAGAAAGAAAAACACCACACTGGACAAATAGAAAATAACAAGCTAATAATCTGTATTCAAAAAATTAGTAATCCCAGTAAATGTAAAATGCATTAAAATATTCCATCTAAACTGTAAATATTGTCAGATTGGACCAAAAACATACTTCTTTGAAAAAACAAAACAAACAAAAAAAAACCTTAAATTTAAGGACACAGAACAGCTAAAACTACAAGGATGGGAAAATACAAATCATGCTAACTACTAACCAAATAAAAGCTGGTAAAGCTATAGTAGTAATAGGTAAAGTGAATTCTATATAATGAAGCACTGCTAGAAATAAAGAGGTAATTTCATAATGATAGAGACAACCCACCAGAAGCACATATACAAACTAAATTACATAGCCTCAAAATACAAATAGCCAGAATTGACAATGTCATAGTGGAGATTTTAACATGCCTCTCTGCTACCTGAAGGAACTTCACACACATACTATAAAGTAGACACAGGGAAAATTTGAACACTATTAATAAACGATATATTTTGATACTTATAGAACAATGTATCCAATGTAGTAGTTACTACATATATATTATTTATTATTTTCAAGTACACATGGAACATTCTTAAAAGTTGACCATATGCTGGGCCATAAAGTAAAATTCAACAAACTCCAAAGAATTAAAATCAGAAAATATTTTCTAATGTCAACATTAAGCTGAATATTAATAATAAAATAACTAGAAAACCTAATACACTAAATCTTCACTAATTATCCCCAATAACACTAAACAACCCTTGGATCAATGAAAAAAAAAAATCACAATGAAATCAGAAAGTATTTCGAACTAAATAATAAAATATGGCATACTAAATTTGTGGACTATACCAAAAGCCATACTTAGGAACATTGAGAGCATTAAATGAAAAAGCAGCTAATAATCAATGGTCAATCCTCCAGTAAGTCAGAAAACAAACAACAAAGCAAGTCTGAAGAACATAGAAAAAAGAAAATAATAAAAAGCAAAGGGTAATACATCATGACCACCGAGATACCACTATACATCCATCAGATGGGCAACAATTTTTAAAATGACAACATTACTGTGAGTAAATGAGTAATAAAACCCTTTTTCCTCTTTATGGACAAATGTGATCTTGAGCTAACTCTCTCTGTCCCTTTACCCGGTAAAATCAGATAGGTATGGAATGTCAATAATTTATTAAGCTGCTTTCCTTATGATGCAAATTACTCCCCACATCTGGACTGGGACATCCAGGAATAAACTATAAGCGCATGATGGGATGGCACAGCTCTCGGTAATCTTGAGTGCTATGGCTCTTATAAGCAACCTGGAAACTATGCCTACAACACACTTACTAGAAAACATATTATCTATTTGGGACATGAGGCTTCTAAGCCAGGACAGCTCCTAGTACCCACAAATGTGATCTCATTCTAAGCAGGACTACTGCAGTCCAGTGAGTTTTATTATTTAGCCAAACCTAAACACCATTAAGACTGGTAATGAAAATACCAAAAGCTGGTGAGGATGTGGGGCAGCCAGTAATTTTATACTGCTGATGGGAATATAAATCAGCACAACCACTTTGTAATACTGTTTGGTAGTATCTAGTATCTACCAAAGCTAAACATAAATATCCTATATTCCAACAATGCACAAGTTCAAGAACGTTCTTAGCAGTATAATAATATTAATAGCCCAAAACAGAAAACAAATCAAATGTCCACAAACAGAATGGTAAATAAAAGTGCTGTATATTCTTACACAGAATACTACACAGCAATGAAAACGAACCAACTATTGCTTCATGCAACAACATGGACAAATCTCTCCAAGTTGAGTAAAAAGCCAACATAATAATGCACTCTATTTTTAAAGTTCAAAAACCAGCGAAAATAATGTATAGCAACAGAAATTAAAATAAGATTACATTTTGGGGTGGTAGAAGGTAATGAGCAAGCATAAAAAGGATTTCCGTCTGTTAGTAATAGTCTATATCTTAATCTGTATGAGCTAAACGGGTATGTTTGCTCAGAAAAATTCAGTGACTGTACCCTTATGACTTACATACTTTATGTACTTTATGTATGCCATATGTCACTAAGACAATTTACTTTTTTAAAAAATCTAAAGAGACATGAAAATCAAACACAATGCAGGACCTTGACTGGATATTGCATTATGAAAAGATATATATAAAAGATACTTGGAGATAACCAGAGAAACCACATCATATTATAGAATTATTTTTAATCTTGTTAGATATGATCACATTGCAGCAGGTATATAAAATAACACCCTTAATTTGAGGATGTTCATGCTAGAATATATAGGAAGGAAGTAAATTTATGTCTGAAACTTATTTCCAATTGGTGGGCAGGAAAGAATTAAATATAAATAAAAATATATATTAGGAGAGAGAAAGCAAATAGACTCTTATGCTAATAATTAATGACCTTAGGCTGAACGACATATAGGTATGCACTGTACAGTTCTTTCAACTTTCCTGTAAATTTGAATGATATCAAAATAAAAAATTGGTGGCATGGAGATATACTTACCGAAATCTTCAAAGCACCATCATGAAGGAACCATGAAAGCCCAAGTTATGGGATTTAAATGCTAAATTAAAATTGTGAGAAACTATAGATTTTGATTTCCCTTTCTATAATAACATTTCATCCTTCAAGAAAATCAGAGAAATAAATTCTTTACCTTCTAAAAACTGAAACAGGCAAACTGAAGACTGATGGCAAAGAAGGTTTACTGGGAGGATTAACAGACCTATTTTATAAAAAAAAAACAAAACAAAAACAAAAATAAAGAAACAACTGAGTAGATCAAGTTTTGTCTAACAAATTTAACTTAACCTCACTTACTTGACTGCAAGTAAAATCAAACATTGCAACTGAGCCTATCATTTAGTATAGTAACAACATGTTTGCTACTTCCTAAGAGTAAATTAGGCTTAAAAAAAAAAATTCCAAGTAACATGATTCATGAATGCAGCAGTGGTACTGGCAGGTGACCTTTGTGTGTCTCCTCTCATGGATCCTGCTCAAGATCAGTGCTAATCATATTCTATCGTCCTAAACATCTTCCCAGTTTTTAAAAAATAATTAAATATTAAGAAAAAAACAAATGGTTGAAGGAATGCACTAAAAATGTAGATTTAAAGACAAAAATCACTGTAATTTTAAATTTTATACTTAATAATGTTTAAAAATAAAATTTCAGAGTGATATTTTGAGCCAATTAGCTTTTGAATACTGCTTATTCAAAACAAAATTCATACCACATATGTCTAGCATGGAAAGCATAAGCCTCATAAATCAGAAATTTCCATGCGTTGCTGTAAGACTGCATCAGATACCTGAGATAGTTATTAAGTGTAAAAAAAAATAAATTCTTATATCTCACCACATATCCATTCTTGATACTTCATCAAATAACAGAAGACAAAATAGTGCTCCAACCTCAGTCACAACAGTACAATCTTCATGAAATATTAAGGAAACTGAACAAAAAGAAGCACAACTTTATGAAATATTTGTACTTCTATAAAGAATGAACTTCAAATTTAAAATATCTTTAATTTGAAGAGAAAAGAAATGCAATGTTAACCCAGATAAGGTGACATCACTAAAACCCAGACTCTCATCTCAAACTTTTGGATGTACAAGAATCACCTGGAGGGTTTGTTAAAACAGTTTCTGACTGGATAGGCTTAGGGTAGAGCCTGTGATGTGCATTTCTAATAAGTTCTCAGAGGATGCAGATGCTTCTGGTCCAAGAACCACACCTGCAGATACACTCGCTAGACACTGTCTACTTTAGGTAGAGAAACAAACTGATACACCCTCTAGGATTATGCTGAGTCATGTAATTCTAGCTAAAGTTTCTCACCAAGAGATCTTATAACTTTTGCCCTTTACTACAAACATGTGATCAAAGAACTTGGATTTGACTTTAAAATGTTACACTTGGGCTGTGTCGTCGTTTGGGTTCCTGTTTGTTTATTACGACAAGATGATGGAAAAGGGAAGTGCTCTGAACTAATAGACATAACGCTAGCTCTACCACTTACTACTTAGCTAAGTGGCCTCGTCAAGTTCTTTAACATTAAGTCTCAGTTTCCAATTCTGTAATGATCTCAATGCTACAACTTCTCAATGCTTGAAACCTATGAAATTCTAAACGAAGACTTACGATGTACTTATCGCACAGGACTAACAACATAATAGACAGCAAATTCAGGGAAGCAGCAATAAGAAATAAGTTTTGAGAGAAGACATTTTTCCTAACTGCAGGAAAAGAAAATCATCCTTATGTAATTGGCATGATTAAAAATAGCAATCAACCAAAAAGTAAAGAAACAGAGAACACGTAAAAATTGACTTAGAATAGACATGTCATATCAATAAACCATAACATTTTCAAATAAATAAGAAATTACAGCAATGTATTTGTCTAATTTAAAATTTAATTTTTTTAAACAACACTTGAAACAGAAAAAGTATAGGAGCATATGTTTTCAGTCTGGAACTAGAGAAAGTTCTACTTTTAGAATATGATAAAAAAAAAAACTGCCCAACTGCCATAACAGAAAAGCTCTATATATTTCCATAAAATATTGTTTATTTAAGGTTAAAGATACAATAAATACATTTAAAAGGATAGAAAAGTTGAAAGAAAATATTAATCACATAAAATCAAATATAAAGATTGTGTCTATCTTATAATAAAAAACCCTACAAGTCACTGAAAAGAAATTAAATACAACAGGAAAATAGGTAATTCACAGATTAAGAAATTTGAATATACATGAAAAGATAATCAACTTCACTAAAACTAAAATAAGAAAATAAAACAATAATATATTTTCACCTACAAGATTAAAAAAAATTTAATGCGACATATTCAGTGTTGGCAAAGTTATAACGAAAATAAGTATTTTTAAACACCTTCAGTGAGAGTGATTTGGAAAGGAGCTTATCTATTATCTTATAAAATCTCTTTGACCTAGGAATTCCAATTATACTGTATGCACAAAGATGATCACACAACATGATTACTGTCATGGTGAAAAATCTGAAACAAATACCCAGTAATACAGCAAACTGAAATTCTGAAACACCAATGCAGTAGTTTTTAAGAGTTTTTGAAGAATATATACTCACTTGAAATACTATGGAAAGATAATCAAGTTAAATTTCCAGTTGAAAAAAGGAAGTAACACAATACTGTAATATACAGAATGAAAACTACACGTGTCTGTAGAAAAGATCATTCGGAATAATACATTCCTAATGATAACCAGTACAGTCTTCTTTGGGGAAATTGAGAAAGAGAAGAAAATGAAAACTTTTAGAATTTAGATAGTTCTATAGCGCCTGAATTTTTACAATAAGGATGTATAGGTCTCTGATTATTTAAAACAAAAGCAAACAAATGTAAGGAAGTTTGGATTCTTTCTCAGTAGCAAAAATAAATAACCCAATAACGATTTTCTGGTTATAGCCTTGGCCAAGTTGCTAAATCTCTCTAGACCTCACACTGAGATGGTATAGTAAATTATTTCTAAGTTAATTTCTAACACTGAAATACAGTATAGAAGTCTGTCATAACATAAAGTTCATGATTCAAGCAATGTTATCTGAGAAGTTATTTAATTACTGTACTCCTTTGATCCATTATCCATGCTACAGAAATAATCTTCCTGAAACACATACTCCCCTGTTGAACAACCTTAGATGGCTCCTCACTGCTGTTTAATAAGACCCCCCAGGCCCTGCACGAACTTGCCCCCCGCCTCATCCCATCATTTCCCTTCACTCCACACTCCCCAAATCCAGCCAACTCCATCTCAAACACATCCAACTCTCATACACATAATGATGGCTCCCTCTATCTCGAAGTTGATCCTGTCTGTTTGACTCCCTATTCATTTCTGGAATTCCATCTCAGATGCCACATTTCCTAGAAACAATATCTGCTACTTTTCACCAACCAATCTGACCAAAATGTCCCCTGGCATCAGGAATCCCCAACTAAAAGTATTACTGTGCTGTATTGTATATTTACTTGTCAACATCTCCAACTCTACTGTAAGCTCCATGAGGATCATTTACTATGCTCATTGATATAACCCAAAAGCCTAGCACTGTACCTAGCACATAGCATGTGCTTAATAAATGTTTGCTGAGAAACGGATTTTCTTGGTTAAGCAGCTGGTTAAAAATTAATTTTTCAGCTAGGCACGGTGGCTCAAGCATGTAATCCCAGCACTTTGGGAGACCAAGGCGGGTAGATCACCTGAGGTCAGGAGTTCAAGACCAGCCTGGACAACATGGAGAAACCCAGCCTCTATTAAAAACAACAAAAATAACCTGGGCATGGTGGCCGGCGCCTATAATCCCAGCTACTCAGGAGGCTGAGGCAGGAGAAATGCTTGAACCCAGGAGGCAGAGGTTGCAGTAAGCTGAGATGGCGCCACCGCACTCCAGCCTGGGTGACAAGAGTAAAACTCTGTCTCAAAAATACATAAATAAATAAATAAATGTAACTTTTCCTGAAACTAAATCCATTAATGGGAGATACTATATTCATTCTCAGACTCATTGAAAGTAATTTCCACAAACAGCAATGAAATAGAAAAACTGAAATACTGAAAAGGGTATAGACTATGTTGCCTTGGAATATGTCTTTGAATCCAGTAGGTGTTCATAATAAGTTCCATGCTTGAATAATTTAAATAAAAATTATAAATGAAAAGGTAAACTAGGAACTAAATTCAACTGAATGAGGTTAATAAGAAGATAATTATTAACAGGATTAAACAAAACTAAAAATTCGTAACTATTGCTCTTTGAGATGATCAGTCCATACAAACTTATAAAAATGTTACAGCCTACTCAAAACGTTATGAGTCTAAACACACTGAATCTGTTTAGAACTTTACCTAGTTTTACTGCTGCTACTTAAATAAACTGCATCTTACCCTTGGCAAGCAGAAGCCAATAGGAAAAAAATATTCTAAAATAAAACGACTATTTCTAACAACATATTTTGAACATAAATCTCATTTATCTCCTATATGCCTGATAACAGACAAGATGAAGCACATTCAGATACTTGGTCAACATGACTCTTGTAGAATACTAAAATAAGCAGTGGTCTAAACCTCTAAGAAAGAAAATAGTACAAAATATTACCAAGGGTCTCCATTGAGAAGAAAAAAAAAAAAAAAACAGAGAAGAAAAGCAGGACAAAAATATATGAAGTGTGTTCATCTAACGCCTTACTACATTAGAATCAAATTAAAATGGGTTTTTAAAACCCACACTTTATAGAATGTAATAAATTTAGGCTCAGAGTCATTTAGGATGGTCTAGTGTCCACCCACACAAGTTGAGTCTATACTCTTAATGCCTGTCAAATGAAATAATCACACAAAATGTACAAGATCCAAAGGTACAATCAAAACAAGAAAGATGAAAGAGATATTAGAAAGAAGACAGTAATAACAGCAGCTGCAACTGTCTCTCTTTATAGGTAATAGTTTACTATCTGAGCACCAGATGACATCTACATCAAGGTGCAAAGAACAATCAGAGGTTTGAGCTTTTCTCAGCTCTAGGGTCCACTCAGTAACAGGATTATAAAACAATTTCCACAAAAATATTAAACGTTTTTCATTGTGATTAGTTTTTAGTAGTGTGTTCACTAATAAATGCTGTTGTTCTATTAGTAAATGCAAATGTGACTTACAATTAAAGAAGGAACACTTAAAACTGAAGAATAATCTTATTAGCAGATTTTCTTTTATTTACCTCTGAATAACAGCGTCAAAACAGAAGACTGTTGTGAGAGGGAAACACGCATGACGGGATCGCCACATAAAAGCTTCCTCAAGAGTGTCAGGCATGGCTGTACCAAACATTCCACAACCTGGTCCAGGAGGGAAAACACAGCTATTTTATTTTAGCAAATTATCAGGTGAGATCAAACATAACTGTATTATCTTACTCTAAATTTTATGCTTTTTCATCAAAATTATGTGAAACTAAAATGTATGTAAATACTGAGAATTACTTTCCACTGAAAGTAAGTTTTGTGTATACTTCTGCTTACCTATCTTATGGAAATTTTAAGATTCGTTTTCCTTTATAGAGACTCCACTTTTAGAATTTTAAACAATGAATGAGATACGAGGTGTTACTTAGGATTTAAAATCCAAGTACTCATCCAAATTCTGCTCAGTTCAATTTCAGATCAGATTAATAAAAACAACCGGTAAAACAATGCCTAGAAGCACATCAGCCTTACCTTGCCTTCTTGACCCACACATTCATTTAAATACTCAATTATTTTGTCAGTTAAGTGTAACTTTTTCACCACAGCATGCATTTTAATATCTGCAGAGCAAAAAAAAAAAAAAGTTACTAAAAGTTAAAAAAAAACTTTGAAGTTTTAAAAACATATTTTAAAGTACACAGAACTGATATCCACACAACTTTCAGACTATTAAAAATAGGTAGACCTGAGGCTGACATTAGAGAATGAAACTTTTTACTTTATATACATATGTCCAATTTAAAAATGTTTAAGTAAAAAGCATATTTTAACTTCTGTAATATAAAAAACAAAAGTATAAAAAAAGAATTACGTGAACCAGTTCTGACTCCGAAAACTACTAGAATTTTAGGTGTACAAATGAATCCTTATATTTAAACGTGGCAAACTGTCTTCTTTATATTATGTCATTGACTCTTCCAAATTTATCACCTTCAAATGTTTATAATCCTCCACAAGCTCATGTGTAAAATATGACTTGCAACATGAACATTTTTCTATCAATAAAAAATTTCTAACCTTAAACTATTAATGGCAAATATAAAAGAAACAACATTATAATATACTCCATATATTTCTAGAGAACATGAGCTTCTTTTTAATAAACATATATTCACATATTACATTTGTAATAAAAACATTTTTGTATACACACACACAAATTTTATATGCATGCACACAGGCACACACAAAAGTTACCAAAGCCAAAACTGTAATTGCTTATATATTCAATTTAACAACTTGCAGACAAATTTTAAGTATTTAACAACTTGCAGACAAATTTTATCCTATATTCTCACTGGGAAACAAACACACACACACACACACACACACACACACACAGAGAGATAGTGAAGTGGTAGCTATCACTGTAACAATCTTTAGTTGCTACTTTAAAAAAATTTTTTTTCCATTGCCCCCCAATACAGTGCATACAAAAACTATACAGTATATTTTTGAATGTTAACAATATTGAAGGAATACTCTTTAACAGAGTTTTTCTTGATCTTTTTTTAACCAGGGCTTTCCACACTTTCTGGTCTTATTTTCTGTAGTCTGTGTTACTATTGTTAAAACTACAAATACGTGGAAAATGCTTTTTCAAATTACTCTCTCATCCCAGTTTCCACTAATATCAAGACAAGAAGTGCTAAACACAAAAATCTTTTTATATAAACTCAAAGTTATCACTTGTCATAAATACTAAAGTACATGTATCACATATGGGGAAAAATTTAAAACTAACCCAAGGAACAAAAGCCTATGGAATAACACTACAAACAAAGCTAACCATGTTTTATACTGGTTGTTTTTAAAAATAAACTTTTTAAGGAAAGGTATAGCTACAGTGTACTATTTTTATTTTACCTGCCAAAAAGGTATTATTTGATTAATTCCCCTAAGCAAGATGGTACAAATTGAAAATATGATGCATGCACTCGGTAAATTGAGAAAGGAACATGCACTTCACTTTCAGAAGCCTATCAATATTTTAAAAAGAAGATCATTCTTTCAAAGGGCATTTTATTGGTCAAATAGTAACAAGGGGTTAGCAAACTTTTTCTATAAAGAACCAGGTAATAAGTATGTTGTCAGGCTTTGCTAGACATGTATGGTCTCTCGCATATTCTTTGGTTTTGGTTTGGTTTTGTTAACAACTCTAAAGATGCAAAAACCATTCTGGAGGGCTGTTTTAAAAAAAAAAAAAAAAAAAAAGCAGCTTGCCGGGCGCGGTGGCTCAAGCCTGTAATCCCAGCACTTTGGGAGGCCGAGGCGGGTGGATCACGAGGTCGAGAGTTCGAGACCATCCTGGTCGACATGGTGAAACCCCGTCTCTACTAAAAATACAAAAAATCAGCTGGGCATGGTGGCGTGTGCCTGTAATCCCAGCTACTCAGGAGGCTGAGGCAGGAGAATTGCCTGAACCCAGGAGGCGGAGGTTGCGGTGAGCCGAGATCGCGCCATTGCACTCCAGCCTGGGTAACAAGAGCGAAACTCCGTCTCAAAAAAAAAAAAGAAAAAGAAAAAAAAGCCAGAGGCTGGATTGTCTTCTGGCCCATAAACCATAGTTGCCAACCCCTGCCAGTACCATACAGCAATTGAAAATTCTATTATCACCAGTACAGCAATTATTTTCCTTAGAAAACATTACCTTGCATAATCACAGCTAACTGTTCAGCAGCTGACTTTCTCAAAACAAGATCAACATCATCTGAGATGAAGATTTCATATACTTTTTCAACAGTCTCCAACTACAAACCAAAAAACAAAAAAACAAAAAAACCAAAATTTATCTGTTTCCACTTCTCCAATAAAATTTTATAGTTTGTTCCCTATGAACAAAAGCCAAAAAAAGTCAACTTATTTATATAACCAACATATTTACACGTAAATTCGCACGATGTTGGGTTGAGTAGTAGTTCTATATTTAGGTCTTCAAGGAATTGCCACACTGCTTTCCACAATGGTTGAACTAATTTACACTCTCATCAACAGTGTATAAGTATTCCCTTTTCTCCACAACTTCACCAGTGGCTGTTATTTTTAAATTTTTTTAGTGATAGCCATTCTCACAGGTATGAGATGGTCCCTCACAGTGGTTCTGATTGCATTTCTCTAATGAGTGATATTGAGCTTTTTATCAGATGCCTTTTGGCCACATATATGTCTTCTTTTGAAAATGTCTGTTCTGTCCTTTGTCCACTTTTTAATGGGGTTGTTCATTTTTTTCTAATAAATTTGTTTCAGTTCCTTACAGAAGTTGGATACCCAAAGAAATACAAATCATTCTACCATAAAGACACATGATGCAAATGTTGACTGCAGTACTATTCACAAGCAAAGACATGGAATCAACCTAAATGCCCATCATTGGCAGATTAGATAAAGAAAATGTGGTACATACACACCATCGAGTCCTATGCAGCCTTAAAAAAGAACAAGATCATGTCCTTTGTGGGAACATGGATGAAGGAAGCTGAAGGCCATTATCCTTAGCAAAACAATGCAGGAACATAACAGGTAGAAGCTAATGATGAAAACACAGGGACACAAACAGGGGAACAACTGGGGCCTCCCTGAAGGTGGGGGCCAGAAGGAGGGAGAGGATCAGAAAAATAACTATTGGGTACTAGGCTTAGTACCAGGGTGATGAAATAATCTGTACAACAAACCTCATGACACGAGTTTATCTATATAACAAACCTGCACATGTACCCCTTAACCTAAAATAAAAGTTTAAAATAAATACATAAATAAATAAAATTTGCAAGAATTATACAGTAGGTCAAGAAGGAACTTAAGCTCTAAAACAAAGAGTCATCATGTCAAGTAAGTTTTTGTGTTGTTTGGTTTTGTTTTTTGAGACAGGGTCTCACTCTGGTTGCCTAGGCTGGAGTGAAGTGGTGCAATCTCAGCTCACTGCAGCCTCGACTTCCTGGGCTCAGGTGATTCTCCTACCTCAGCCTCCCAAGTTGCTGGGACTACAGGCTTGCACCACCGAGCCCAGCTAATTTTTTGTATTTTTAGTAGAGACAGAGTTTCACCATATTGCCTAGGCTGGTCTCGAATCCCTGGGCTCAAATGATCCACCTATCTCAGCCTCCCAAAGTGCTGAGATTATAGGCACTAGCCACTGCACCCAGCCCCTCTCTTCTTAATATACATCTTTGCTAGGAAGTCATTCATAACCCATTAATCCATTAGCAACCTTACAAAGGTAACAGAAAACATCCATGTTCCCTAACATCTTTACAGGTAGTACCAGGCTAATCTGAGAAGAGTGACCCAGACCTAAGACTCAAGATTTCCCTGTTGCTCCCGGAAGCCACCAGCTGGTATGGACCCTTCCATTCTTTCTCTTAGAAGACTCTAGAGCAGACTTGTTGTCCAGAAGCCCTTCAAAGCTTCCCCGCCCCCCCCAGACAAGTTCCTGTCACTTCAGGCTAGGACAGAGTCTGAGGTGGCAAAGCCAGCATCAGGAAAAAGGGACAAGAAAATAACAAAGATGAAGCTCCTTTCTCCTACTCACTGCTATCTTCCAGCCCTAACATGGACTCACGGAAGACATGTCAGAATGCTCCCTCCCTGCCTTTCTCCATACATGAGGACGCAGGAGTGAATACCAATGGCTTACTACTCAGGGAAGTTCCAAGCAGACCTGGTATGTGGCTGGTGGAAGACTCTCCAATCCTCCTGCCAGCACTGTCACACAGCCCTGAACATTCAGTTTAGAAGAACATAATGTGTTTCCCCATTAAAAAACAAACAAACAAAAAAACCCAAAAAACAAAACAAAAAAACGACCATATTACATGTGGCTCTATCATACTTCTATGGGCCTTAGAGAGTTAGTCTAAAACAAAACAGAGAGATTGCAAAGTTCAAGTGAAATGAGAAGGTATAAAACACAGGAATGAATCCATGAGAATAGCGGACAGCTTTCTTTGTAGAATTCTGCATCAGTCTAGCATGCTATAGGTACAGTCCCAGCTAATCCAGGGACATGTATTTACAGCCGCTGCCCTTTGCTCTCATTACCGCCTGAGCTCCACCTCTGGTCAGATCAGCCAAGGCACTGGATTCTCATAGGAGTGCAAACCCTATTGAGAATTAGGTGTGAGGGATCTAAGTTGTCTGCTCCTTATGAGAATATAACTAATGTCTGATGATCTGTCGCTTTCTCCCATCACCCCCACATGGGACTGTCTAATTGCAGGAAAACAAGCTTTCACTGATTCTACGTTATGGTGAGCTGCACTATTTCATTATATATTACAATGTAATAATAATACAAATAAAGTGCACAATACATATAATGCACTTGAATCATCCCAAAACAATACTCCTGCCCCAATCCATGGAAACACTGTCTTCCGTGAAACTGGTCCCTGTGCCAACAAGGTTGGGGACCACTGCAATAATTCAATGTATCCAGAAGCTGGATGAAGCCAGAACACAATTTCAAACCAGCCCTGAATCCCTATACTTCTCTCCCACCCCAGGACATACACAAACTAAAGAATGTCATATAAAATATATCATATAAAAAAATGTATCAAATTACTACATAGTAATAAACTCAAAAGTTTTCATTACCTTAATAACCAGCTCTCTTCTGTCATCCAGTTTGAGTTCAATAGGCTTCTTCACAATGAATAAATTAGTAACTCTGGAGAGAACTCTGGCATCTATTAGAGGGCGCTTTGTATCAGCCCCTTCTTCACTGGTAAGATGGAATGCTAAAAGTTTTAATGCTAGTGCACGGACCCTAAGAACACAAAGTACTTAAGTGAAACTTTTGTGATAAACAAATGTCCATTTTAAAAGGGCTTATCATTACAAATAATTATATATCAACAAAGTACAATAAGTAGTCACAATTATACTGCCATTACTAGTAATGATAATTTACTTTTTCTACAAAAAATCTTTGATATGTAACCATAATGATTTATTCAATATAATAGTTATAAACATCAGAAGCGAAAAATAGTAACTACAAATGAGACAGACTCACTGAGATTAAATATCAGTAAACTTCAATAAGTATATCTGTGAATTAAATCTATAATTCCTGTCTTCAAATCTAGTGATCTATTCTCAACCACAAAAAGTATCACAGGCCCCTGACCAGAGACCAAACACTCAGATGAACCCACAGGAGTAATATGCTCACAACTCAAGTGTGACAACACTACAGTGTAGGAAAACCTTCTTACATTCCTGTCAAATGTGAAAATATAAATACTTTTTTTAATCTGGAAGGGATTAGGAATACGGACAGCTGAGTGAAGAGGTGGGAGATCTTTCAAGAAAAGATTAAATACTGTATGCCACTAAACAATGAAACAGAGAAACAGAGAAACCGTCAAGTGCGCAAAGATCACTGAGGTGGCAGATACTGAGACAACCATGTATCTTTTCCTCCTCTGGTGAGTTCTTGAACTACCTGGAAACTGGACAAATTTTAAGCAATACAAGTTGCCAGGTTTTAAGAACTACCTATAAGACAGCAATTAAAACATGCACCCTTAGGGTGGCCCTCCTACCATAGACTAGAGCAGGTTGCCTTCTGTATGTGGGCCTGCCACCCTGAGCCCCTGCACCATAACTTTTATCTCACTTTATGACAATTAATACTAAACAATAATTGATAATAAGAGCATATTCCCGGTTACGTGCTAAATGCTGAAAGGGCAGGGCCCCTGTCTGTGTTGTGTGCTGCTCCATTCCCACAGCTCACAGGTATATAGAAGACACCCAATAAATACTTCCTCAATCTAACACCAAGTAGGCATCTACTGCAATATCGTTAATTGATATCATCTCCAGAGGACTAATAAATCAGGTAAACTTTCCCCCTCTCCATTTGTCAGTTACCTCAAGAGAGCTTAGAAAGGCTAAACACCTATCTAATAGTTTTCTATTGTTCCTTACATTCTAAGACAACGATATCTAAATCAATATCTGAGGCTGTCAGTTGAAAGACAGGTATAACCCCTAGTAAAGGTGGCTAGTGATAAGATATGTAAAGCATGTATTTATGCCTCTTGTTCTCTGGTATATATATATTTAGGGTCTCTTTGGGTTTAGCACAGGATGCCAGAATCTGGTTATTCCTATACATGTATGTAATTCTTTTAATATTTTTTGAGTATAGTCATGCACTGCCTAACAATGTTATAGTCAACAGTGGATCACATATACAATGGTGGTCTCACAGAATTATATTACTGTATTTTTCTAAACCTTTTCTAGGTTTAGATACACAAATACCACTGTGTTACAACTGCCTACAGTACTCAATACAGTAACATGCTATATAGGTTTGCAGCCTAGAAGCAACAGGCTATATGACATGACCTAAGTATAAACATACTAAGTTATTATCACTTAGGTTTGTGTAAGATACATTCTATGATGTTCACACAAGGACAAAAATCACCTAACACCGCATTTCTCAGGATGCACCCATGTCATCAAGCAACACATGACTGTGTCTTTATGTTTAAGGTACCCTATGAAGTTCTGAGTATATAAAGATTAGCCAATGAACAGGGTTCCTGCCTACATGGAGTTTATGTATGTGTTGGTGGGATGGGGTAGAATTAAAAAATAAGAAAAACAAACATGTCATTTAAACTGTTTTAAGTTCAGTATAGCACAGAATTATCTTAAAGTCTGGCCTTGCCTTACCCTATGCTCCTGGAGATGGCTTGCCCTAAAATTCTTTATTAAACTGAGGACCTTGGGCCCCCAACAGCAAACAAGAAATGACCCCTATTGTGTTGAATCTTCAAATTTGGGGGTTTGCTCAAGTAAAGAGTACCACACTAGCACATTAATTAACAAGGAACAGCTCCTCTACACGTGTAGAAGACAACCCCTGAGAATACAAGCACATTAACTCCCTCCGCCTACTTCTTCCTGTATCACCCATAACATCACTCTCTACACTACACTATCTTAAAGACTCTATAGTTTTCCTTCTTCCATTCTCTTAATGGTTTAGTTAACTTCCACCTACTTCCTTATTTTTCAGTCCAATAATCTGTCTATAAATAAGCTGCTATATTTTCTTGATGTAAGGTTTGGGAAACACAAATTAGCCATTGTCAAAAGAGTATCTGTCCGTTCTTCCTAGCCTTTTCAACCAACTACGGCTCTTTATCTCTGCTTATCCATCTCGACTCTAAGCACTTTTTCCTTTCAGTAAGGGAAAATCTAACCACTGTTACCTAAAAATAATAATAGAAAACATTCATGTTGCAATGACAGAGAAGGAAGAAAAACAGTATCATTCTTCTTCTTTTCATTAATTAAAACAATGCTTATTATCAATGCTGGTCAAAGAAAGGATACATTTTCAGTTTCCCAAGTAAGAACACACATAAATGAGATTAAAATAGCTGCATAACTCTGGGATATGATACAAGTAGCGTACTACACTTATGAAAAACTTAATATTCAGAACAGATGTTTACAAAAAGATCACTCTGAGAGGTTAACCATTTCTAAAGAGAAGATGGGAATACACTATAATTTTTACCATCTATTTACCTCCATCGCTCTCCAACTTGCCTAGGGTACTACTGAACAGCACTCAGTAGCAGTGCTATAACACAGGCTGCTCTGACAAGGTATAACTCAGCTGTAAAATGGATGAAACATCAGCAAGTACATAAAAGACGTTGTATCTGCTTAGTTTCACGCATTAGTTTCCTCTAGTAATGTAGTATCATCCCCTTAAAAATTATTTAGTTTTGTTTCAAATTAACATAACTATTATACTTTCTTACATGTTTTCAATAATCTTCAAAACAAAAATGTTCAAAAGATTATGTTGTACTCACGATGGCTTTTTCACTAGCAAAAGTCGCAGCATGGACTTTAACCGGGTAGTGCAGGGAAGGATCTCTTCTCCTGTGTCAGAACTTGCTTTGCTTAGAAGGAGAATGCAGTTACCCAAAGGATCTTCTGTGTCGGCATAGCCCTAACAGATTCGTTTTTAAAGAGAAATCATTGTTTAATTTTATACATAACTTTTCAACTTAAAAATAAGAATTGTGTTGTCCTGTCAAGCAATTCATAAATGTCTTTCAATTCAGTTGAATACAATAGTAATTTTTCAAAATAACCTCTATGAGGTAAGGAGCCTAAATAAAGCTGTATTTTTAAAAAAATTAAACATATATACAGGAGAACTTCAGGAAAACATGCCAACCTTCTTGACACTTGCTGATTTTCTGTTTTCTAAGATTCTAATAGTGGCACCTTCCCTCGGTGAAGCACCTCAAGGATCCTCAGCCTGTCCCACCCTAAGAAGATGGAGTGCTATAAATGCTACACCCATGGAATAGGACCCTGTCCATCTCAAGGCACAAGGCCTGGGCTCTCCTAAAAGAAGACCGTGCCTATGATGGCATTCTGAACTCTACCTTTTCATCCAAGAGACAGGGACCTGACTCCTTTAATATCCAGGATTGCTTTAAAAAAAACAAAAAAGGCTGTTTCTAAGAGCATGTTAATTAAAGTATCACTTTAATCTTATACATGCATGGATAGAATTCATGAAGCAAGGTAGTTATGTAAGGTCTGCTTAAAAAGCACGGTTAGCTCTGCCTAAAAGCCTTTATATAAGGTTGAGTTCTATTTTTCATAGTCAATGCTGTGCCTGCACTTCACTTTTTAACCTCCCACCCAGATACATAAAATATATGCAGACAAATTAGCTATCCTTGTTTAACTTTCTGCCAGAAACAAGACAGCCACCCACTTCCTGTTCACTCATCCACAGCACCTTCACAGCTTCTCTTCGTTTCTCTCTCAACATGACAGTTTTGCTGTTTGCATGCGTTTAAATCAATCAGAACTAGCCAAAAATAAATGGTATCATAAAAGGTGAATTTCACAGAATACCTGCAATACTGGAATGACAGGACAGAGAGATTCAATAAATTTGTTCCAGGTCAGTGCTGTCATCATCAATCGTCCCTGAAGCAGGTATAACAGAATGGCCTTGGCAGCAGTGTTCACCTGCTCAACACCAGACCCAATAAACAAGTCAAATGAGATGTCCTGCTAGGTCACCTGACATAACTGTAGCATTTCATAACATCTGAAAAGATGCTAGAATTAACATGTCTTTCTTCAAATGTTCACATTCCCATAGCATCATCTTACATTCTGTTTGCATTTTTTCTTCCTTAATGATTTCTACTTTTTTACCTTTAACGTACATTTGTCCCTTGAGTAAAAATTTCCCAATTGAAATAACCTGCTTGCTATAGCACTCTGTACTGTACAGTTCTCAGCATCTTAGATGAAAAATCTAAGTAAATTGATGTAAATATTTTGAGATCAAGTGTGTCTTGTATTTTTATTCCCACATTTTACATAACGTTTGTTTTTATTTAAATAACACTTCAACCGAATCAATGCACCGAAGACAGGTTTCTTTTTAGTTTCTCACCATGCTATCTAAACTATATTAGAATATCACCTCAATTTACCTTAGTAAATTACAGGAATTTTTTACACTGTTTTTATCATCGTACCTCACTTTTGGGCTCTTGAATGCCAAATACAGAGATTTCATACAGAACTTTCGGATGAAGTAGAAAATGAATTCCATTGCAAAGTGAAGACACAGGTTTAGTAACATTATGAACACCTAAACATTCCTGTAAAATAATATGAAAAAGTATTTTTAAATTAGCAACACTGATTTTTCCAAAAGATCCATCTTTCTTCTATTTATAATCCAATTTCTATTTTAGTTTTTACTTCATTGAAACCTTTTTTAATAATAGAGAATGAAAAAGAGTCTCCTGTCCAACAGTCTCTTAGTTTGTATGAGATATATATTACTTTCTGCCAAAAAGCATAATAATGATAAATTAAGTAAACAAACGGCTGAGACAACCATAATCTCTCAAAGTTATTCATCGTGATAGTCACAAAGGACATAAACACAATAATAAACTTATCCTAAGGCATTTCCATTTTACTTATAAAGGTTGTGAAAGGAAAATTCAACATGAAAAAGGTTTAAGTTATGGGAGACATAACTTTATACATATATATATATACACACACACACACATATATACATACACATAAAATACATACACACACACACACACACACACACACAAACACACACACACACACATATATATATCAAGGATATATATAAAGTTATCATCAATATAGCTATGTACCTAAAATACAACTACTTTGAACCATCACTTAAGAGTAACTATCAGAAATTTTTTTCTCAATATGTGATGGAGAATATTATTTTGTTAGCAGCTATTTAAGGTGGAGTGGGAAGGTACTTGAAATATTAATAGAATTTAAATACAATATAGAAGGTTAAAATATGATCAATAATGAGTTACATGAATACAATTTTTTTCATTCTGCAAATTTCTACTCCTACTACCAACAATTCAAAGGTCAAAATGGTACCTACATACACTCACATACGTATATGCATACATCATTTTTCTTTCAACTATTAACCTCATGCCACAGCAGCAACTTTGCATTATAAGCTTTTCAAAGATCTAAAGCCTTAGCCTTAAAGTTTAATAATAGCTGTCACTTACTTCCTTAAGATACTTACCTACCAGCTAAACTGTGACCATATCCTTCTGAAATCAAGATTTACTCCCTCAAATTGTCTTACTTTTCTCCAGCACCTTTATTTTTCTTCGCATGATTATTCTAATCACCATATGACACATTCTAATGCGTCTCCGGCCCTGGCTTCCCCCTCTTGGTAACAATTCATTTTTCAGCTCTCCCTCCCAGCACAAGACCTCCCAAAAGTTCACTGTCCACAGTTGGTACTTCCACATTTGCCAGGCCCTCTTCGACCCACAGCAGCAGGACTTATGTCCCTACCTTTCCACAGGAGCTTCTTGTAGAGGACACCAACGACCCCGGTGATGCCAAATCCAATGTGTTCATCTCTGTTCTCATCTGACTCTTCCTTCTCACCTCTGTCTCCACTACTGGCTCCCTCTGTTCCCAACTTCTAGCTTCTTTAAAACCCTATATCTAACTGGTTAGATCCTAGAAGGCCTTCTCTTCCCTAGTCTCTCAGTAGTTGATCCTATCCGGACTTGTGGCTTAAATATCATCTCTATGCTGATGACTGAAAATTTTACACCTCATCTGGGCTCCACACTCCAAAGGTAGTGTGGTGCAATGCTCAAGAATATGGGCTTTGGAGTGAAATGATCAGGGTTCAAAGCCCAGTTTTACCACTTTTAGTTGAATGACCCTGGACAAATTCAAAGTATCTCTATTTTCAGAAAAAGGTAGTACCTAGCTCACAGAGCTATAGGATTCAATGAGATAATATACTCATAAAAGTACTTGATACAAAGAGTAAATGCTCAATAAATATTAGCTATCATTATCACTGAAATTAATAGCATTATTATATTTAACAGTCTAGTTAACATCTACACTTGATATAAAAAGACATGTCAAACTTAGGTTCAAAACAGAATTCTACCCAATGCACAATCCCATATTTAGGACATCAATCCAACTGCTAAATCCAAATCCTTAAAATTCATCCTTAGGCCGGGCGCGGTGGCTCAAGCCTGTAATCCCAGCACTTTGGGAGGCCGAGGCGGGTGGATCACGAGGTCGAGAGATCGAGACCATCCTGGTCAACATGGTGAAACCCCGTCTCTACTAAAAATACAAAAAATTAGCTGGGCATGGTGGCACGTGCCTGTAATCCCAGCTACTCAGGAGGCTGAGGCAGGAGAATTGCCTGAACCCAGGAGGCGGAGGTTGCGGTGAGCCGAGATCGCGCCATTGCACTCCAGCCGGGGTAACAAGAGCGAAACTCCGTCTCAAAAAAAAAAAAAAAAAAAAAAAAAATTCATCCTTGATCACTCTGTATCACCTACTCCCATTATCAGCAAGACCAATTAGCTCCAGGTCCATAATATATCCCAAATTCATTTCCTTCTCTGCATCTACCCTACAGCACCACATCTCATCAGGGCTACTACAATGGAACTGGTCTTCCTGCTTCCATTCTGACCCCCTAAAATCCATTCCCCACGCAATGTGAGAGTGAACTTTTCAGAAAGATCATCAGATCATGTTAAAATCACTCAAAGTATCTCACTGTACTTACAGTAAAATTCACAGCTTTACAATATTTGGCACCTCGTCTACTTTTCAGACCCAATCTGGTATCATTTTTCTATTATTTCATTATACTGCCCTTCTTTTTGTTCGTGAAACATACAAAGTACATTCTCACCTGAAAAGCAGAGACTTCTCACCTACTGTTTCCTCTGGCTAGAAATTCTCCCTCCCTAGCCAGCCTACATAAATTTAGTCCACGTTACCAGGCATTATCTATTCCTTCGTCCTTTTACTTTCTTTACAACACTATTTTCTTTAAAATCCTATATTCATAGAACGCATATATAGTGTTGTAAAGAAAACTATATGTGTGTATATATATATATATATATATACACACACACACACATATTCCGTATATGTTACAAAGAAAACTATATACATATATATATACTCACACATATATAAATACATACTTTTTATGTATTTAAAGAATATTTTTAAATCATTCCATACTTCTCTCTCTCTCTCTCCTGTTGGAAGGTAAGCTCTCTGATGACAAGGCCCTTTTCTGTACTTTGTATCGCTACAGTCTAGCATATAGTAAAGTGCCCAGGAAATATTGCTAAATGAATGTCAGATGCAAGTAGCATGGAAGTGGTCACCATTTAATCATCCCTAAGTTTAAAAGCTATTTTACGTCTTTATCATACCGTTCTCAAAGTCAAGTCTTAAAATAAAAAGCTAACTTGCCTCTTCAGAAAAAGTAACCTACACATTAGCAGCATGCTCCTACATTTAGGTTAGGTAGAGCTGCAGCAATGCCTTGGAGGTTTACCAGAAGACACTGGAATAATATCATATAACAGACATAGCCAATTAAGGTGAAATGCCATTACAAATCCTCATATCTAAAACAAGGTACTATATCTTTACAACACGGAGGCTAGCTAGAAGAAATCTCATCATTTGGAGCTTTTGACTTAGATTATTATAACTCCCTGAAAATAAATAATTATCCATTTTTTAAAACCACAATGCACTATACAGACAAGTATCTTTTGTGAGAAAAGAAAAATCACAATTATATTTTGCAAGAACAGTGTCAACTAATATAAATTTCCAAATAGTTAACAAGAAGAACATTAAATAAAAGTTCATATTCTTTTATTTTCTCCCTTTTACAACTAGGATAGTAAGGTGAGTTTTAACAAAAATTATCTTTTAAATTTTTGCAACCAAATGTATGACACTTGGTTATAAAGACTATAGTATATTAAAATCTAGAATTTTCAAAGTTACTAACCGCTCAGTGCATTTTTTGAAAAACAAATTCAAGACTGACACATATGTATTTATTTCTGACATACTTTTTTTCCTATCATCCTAGTGATAGGAAAAATTATTTACATAAATGTAAATCTTAATGAAACTTTGAATAAAGCAATTCAATTGCTGGACTTACTAAGTTAAGGAAATTTAATAGTACAAATTTTCCAGAATTGACTAGTAATTATCATCTATTTTTATGGGATATAGTTCTTATATCTCATACAAAAGATCAAGTAATTTAAGTTTGAAGGTATAACAAGAGAGATTACTATTTGTTCTCAAAAACAAAACATACAGGCCAGGCACAGTGGCTCACACTTGTAATCCCTGCACTTTGGGAGGCTGAAGCTGGCAGAATATGAGGTCAGGAGATCGAGACCATCCTGGCTAACATGGTGAAACCCCATCTCTACTAAAAATAGAAAAAATTAGCCAGGTGTGGTGGCACACGCCTATAGTCCCAGCTACTCAGGAGGCTTAGGCAGGAGAATCGCTTGACCCTGGGAGGCAAAGGTTGCAGTGAGCTGAGATTATATCACTGCACTCCAGCCTGGATGACATAATGAGATTCCGTCTCAACAACAAACAAACAAACAAAAAAACAAAACCTCACCTTAGTGATTTCCAGACAGCAGTGGTAAGTTTCAACTTTCACTTGTGGCAACGGGTGAGACAACATATGGAGAAGCACCTTCTGACTTTCTCCTTGTAGTAATGGACTGGCTTGTGCAGATTTCCAGCTGGTAAAAAAGTATAAAAACTAAGACATCCAAGGCAAATAAGTTTTTTAAATCCACATAAGGAAAAGGTACAAAGAATAAAAGTTACAAAACTCTCAATTTAAATTATTAATTAAAACTTTGAAGATAAACAAACAGTATGTGTGAATAGTCTGGATGGATACCAAAAACAAATGTATAAAAATCCAGGGATTACTCATTTTGATTGCAGGCACGACATTTTTTAAATTTAATCTTGAATATAACAGTTAAGAATACTAATGCAGCTGTACATATAACCTTTAAGTCAGACATACAAAAGCAACTAAAAAATAATAATAGCAAAGATATAAGGTCAGTTTCACTTTCACTGTTTCTAAGTTTACACACACTCTAAGTGTCCAATAATAATATCATCAAATTAAGAAAGAAAATATTACATCTTTGAACAAACGCTGATGATTTCCTTTATTAGGGGGAAATGCTGATGATAGGAAAAGCTACACAAGGATTGATCCGCCAGCTCCACTAATTCTAAGAGATCCTTCTCTCCCTAAAAAAGAAGCAGAATGGAACAATAAATGTCAAGTTCATGTACAATAAAATTCTCAACAGCTAACTAAGCAGCTTCAAGAAATTAGAACATTCAGAGACCCTAGGATTGTTTACATGTGTTTAAGTCCATTTTCTCACCAAGCAACCTAAAAACGTCAGTCTAGCGGAGAAATGGAAAATTCCCTAGCTAAATGCCACATGAGGCTTTCTATTATTTAACTCTGAGTAGGCTTAAAGGTACAACCAAGTTGCCTGGTTCTGTGACTACTTCTTTTTGGCTCTACCTCCCCTAATAACAGCAGGGCTAATGTATTTTATTATCAACCTGCCTCTTGTAACAGCCTGACAACTAGGAATATACAGGACATTCAATACATGTATGATCAACTGACCATGCAAAATGTCAAAGAGGCTGGACGCAGTGGCTCATACCTGTAACCCCAGCATTTTGGTAGGCTGAGCCAGGAAGATCACTTGAGGTCAGAAATTCACGACCAGCCTGGCCAACATGGTGAAATCCCGTCTCTATTAAAAATACAAAAACTTAGCTGGGTGTGGTGTCACATGCCTATAATCCTAGCTACCCAGGAGGCTGAGGTGGGAGGATTACTTGAACCTGGGAGGCGGAAGTTGCAGTGAGCAGAGATTGCGCTACTACACTCCAGCCTGGGAGACACAGTGAGACTGTGTCTAAAAAATAAATAAAATAAAATAAAAAGGCCATAGAAATAATTCAATGTAAAGACACAATTCAAAATTCTATCACAGAGAAAACAAGAAGCCAGTGGTGTTAACATGTGGCAAAAAGAAAAGAAAAAAATAAACTATAGTAGTAAATAAGAAAAATAATAAATATCAAGTTCCAGGCCAGGCACAGTGGCTAACACTGTAATCATAGCATTTTGGGAGCCCAAGGTGGGAGGACAGCTTGAGGCCAGGAGTTCAAGACCAGCCTGGGCAACATAGTGAGACCTCATCTCTATAAAACAATTTAAAAATTAGCCATGTGTGGTAGCATGTGCCTGTAGTACTAGTTGCTTGGGAGGCTGAGGCAGATGGATTGCTGGAGCCCAAGAGACCAAGGCTGAAGCCTAGGCAGCAAAGGAGGCTGTCAACATATTACAAATTCAAAGATAATAAACAGGTTCAGATAGATTCTACTTTAGCCGTCAAATGAATAAGAATTTTATCCCTAATTCCTCAAGATCTCCAGGATCCATTTTGTTAATTTCAAACAGTAAACAAGTACTGTATCAATGTCTGTCTCTAAGACCCATTAACCCTTTCATTGATAATATACTAATATTAAAATATTATTTTCAAAAGGGATAAATAATAAAAAATAATTATTGCTGTAACACTGCCCAAAAGTCATCCTAATACATTATCAACAATGTAGTTCATGACTATTTAATACTTTTTAAAAATCAGGCTTCATATATACGTAATATGTACCTACAAAATATTAAGGCAAAAATGTGTCTGCAAGTAAGCACTAAAATAGCGCTTATAATTCTGGTTACATCAGCTGTCACTCAGTTCATATCAGTAAGTCACTTCATAGAGGTACTCATTATTAAATATTAAGACATTTGTAATAACCACCACTTTTTTGTAAATCACCGATATTAGGAATATACACCATTAATTAAACTCTTTGTTTTACTTCTATACAAATCATATCCTTACTTTAACCTGTTAACTAACAGGTTATTTATAACTGACCCAACTCAGTAATAATGTATCCCATCTGTAACAATTTAACTATATGTCCATCAATTCAAAAAGTATAGATTAAACTTTCTAAATATGTCAAAGGGATTTAAAAGATATATTAACAAAACTTTTTACCTCCTTCTCAATATCGGACAGGAAGTTACAGGTGCATTCAATTGAATAAACAGCCTCTGAAGTTTGTTTATAAATACTGTAGTTTTCAGAATTCAGCTGCTCCAAATAGGCCACAACAGCTTCATGAATATTTGGATATTCCAAAGAAATAGGCATGTCCAAAGAAAGGAGAAATAACGCCGCTGACATGGGCTCTGGTAAAAACTTGTTTGCCTTGATGAATTTAAAAAAATAAATAAAACTTTGTTAAAAAAAAAAACCTCCTTTTAGAGAAACATGGTGGGCTATAATCTAATCCAACTTCCTTTTTTGGAATTCTTTGTCACAAAACTGAAGCTTTTTCCAAAGAAAATCCCATTTCCCAACACATCATCTACCTCTACCTCTATGTCTTTGTTCAATACAAAATGTCTCAAGTACACATATCAACTCTTTCTCAAAGCCCAGGATACTACTTTCTTCTTCCCCAAACCAACTTCTCTCTTTGAGCCCTACACCTTGTTTAAACCTCTGCTATTGAACTGAGGCATGAGGCCTTTTTCCCTAAGTGTTTTCTGTACACGTACACAAATTTCCACAATAACCCAATAAACTGAAGACAAGAACCCTTCCCATCCCATAGCAGAGCACAACAGAGCTTATTAACAACATATTAATAACACTAAATCAAGTATAGCTATAGATTGATTTGAAATGAAACTGACATTTTTCTGTGGTTTTGTCTTTCAGAGGGGATAGGGGAAATTCAATATGATATTTTAAATAGTTCTAAAATACTCATAGAAGATAGCCCCTTAATTATTCTAAAATCAATATGCCCAAATGAAATACACACCTTAAATCAATAGATTTAAAACTGAAAGAACTGTGCTTTTTAAAAAATCATTCTAGTTTTGTGACAGGGTTTGAAATATCAATTAAAGAAATAAAAAGAACTAAAAATTCAATGTTCAGAGAAAATCTCTTGACAGGGCTCACTATTATGGTTGAAATGCTGCCTTTGCAAAAATGGGTTTGGCTATGATTTATTTCATGGATAACCTATATCAAGGATAATCTTAACTGCCTGAAAGTCTAAGAGCTGAATCAGCTGAACAACAATACTTTTAAATGAATATAGTTGCTAAATAAAGAACAAAAACCACAGAAATCAAAATTTTAGATTACACAGACATGACAAACTTCCAGACTAGTGAAAAAGCAGCTATAAGAAAGTCAAGAGAAATTTCATTATTCTGTGAAGAACTACCTTTTTTTGTGGTGTGAGTGGGGGAGAAACTTAATTAACTGCTCACCTATTAGTCACTCAATCAGCAAATATTAATTGGGTCTTACTGTGTTTACCATCTGCTAGGCATCTCTCCAGTCCTGGGAACCCAGCAGAGAGCAAAACAAAATCTCTGCTCACATGAAGCTCATATCCCACTAAAGAAAAGAGAGTGTAAAACGATATACTTAATAAGATGTTAGGTGTGGCTAAAAACGTTTTTTTTTTTTTTAAACAGAATGGGGAAGATGGAGAGGAACAGAGAAGTAATGGGGAGTGGAGGCAGGGAAATGCTACTTCTCTAAAGTAGAAGGGGAAGGCTGCACTAATTAGGTAACATTTAAGTAGAGCCCTGGAAGGGTCAGGAGCCATGCGGCTATCCAAGGAAAACATTCATAGAACAGAGAAGAACAATTACAAAAACTGTATTTGGTAGCAAGGAAGCCAGTATAGCTGGTTCTGAGGAATGGAGTCAGAGGGGAGTGGTGGGCCAGATGAGGTAAGGCTTTGGGTCATCATAAGGACCTGTCCTCTGCTGGAAGCCCCTGGAACATTTTAAACCAGTTATCAAAAATGGTCTGTAGAGAACTGATAGTAATGTGTAAAAGTGGAAGCTGAGAGAGAGCGGGGGACTTTACTGCAATAATCCAGGCAGGACAGAATGGTGGGTTTAACTCAAGTATTTCAGATTCTGTACAGATATTCAAGGGATAAATGACAAATTTTGCTCAGGGATCATATCTACATATGAGCGAAAGAGGGAAATCAAGGCTGACTCCAAGGTTTTTGCCTGATCAACAATCAACTTGAACCATCAAGTTGCCATTTACCTAGACAGGCAAGACTACAGGAAGAACATATTCGGAAAGGAAAGCAAAGAATGAAGTCTAGGACATGTTCAGTTGGAGATATTTATTGTTATCCAAGTGAAGACAAGTTTAGACTTCAGGTGATATGTGTGATCTGGAGGTATAAATTTGGAAGGCATCAACAAATAAATGGCATTTAAAGATCACAAATGGGATATTTCATGAAGGTTATAGTCAGTCCTGGGGTTTCACTCCTATAGAGTTAGGAAACTAAGAGCAATTAGCAAAGGTGATTTAGTGAGTTGGGCACTGTGCTAAGATAGTAAATCCTAGTGGAGCTAACTCTAAAGGCAGTGTGTTCTAGTTTAAGAGAGTTTTCTCTAACTCTAGTCAGAAAAACAGCTGCTATGAGAATTAAACGAACATTAAGCAGAGTGTATGGCATATAGCACTCGATAAATATTAATTTCCTTTTCTCGCTTCACTACAAAGGAATTCTAACATTTCACCCTGCATACTCATATTTGCAACTTTTGCTATCTCAACAACTCAAAGCCCCATGCTAATGTCATCAGCTAATCCTTATGTGGCCCAATGGACTAATCACAATTTACACCCGAGATCTAAGGTAGTTCTGCATATATAAAGCATTAGTCATAGGTCATGGGAACTAAAAGTGAAGATGTTTCAGTGCAAATTCATCATCCCTATCAGATAAAAAATAATCAGCAACATCATCTCATGTGCATTTGGAGGAAGAGCTATGAATGTTTCCTCTAAACCTAGCCACTCAGTAGCCATGGTGTAATTCTATGAGTTTGTTAGAAATGCCAGCTCTCAGGTCCTACCCTTCACCTGATGAATCAGAATATGTAAGATGTGATTAACAGTATCTCTAAGTGATCTGTGTGCACATTACCTTTTGAAAAGCACTGCTCTCAGTCACTCAACTGGTTTCACCAGGTGATTCGATTTTTTATACAACCTAAAGACCCTGTGTTACAAATTCTTCCTTACCCACAGTCAGCATCGCTAGCTAAGAAAGAGTAATAGCAGTTCCTAGGATGCTCTGTGCTTCTGCTTCCAGAACAGGGCCAGTACTTTTAGCTCTTACTTCCCATATGTTTTCCCAAGGAAATTACCTTTATCTGTTTTACCAATTTAGTGTACTCAACCACAATATTTTTCACAAGATTGCCAACATAACATTTTAACCTATACATGAGTATTCTCCAAAATCATTTAAAATCAACAAATACCAGTTTCAAAATAGGCCTCAGAGGACGTTTCGTCAAATTTAGGAAATCTCTACATAGATTCATATTTATTTTCAACATCAAAATTACATATTTGGTCAGTGACAACTCTTAAAAAAAAACACTTCATAGGCAAAAAGTTTCACAGTCCAAATTCTACTTCAATTGTTAGTAGGCTAGCAACAGACAGAGGGCAGCATAACCTTACATTATATAAACCAAAGCAGAAATTTAACAGCAATGAAAGAGCATTTTTGTTTAGATCTCATTTTAAAGTACTTAATTAATCAAAACAAATATAATCATCTAAAAACAAATACCTTAATTACAATCTGCCAAAATGATCAAAATTATTCTAATAAAATTCCAAGTTACAAAGTACCAAAAATTAGATATTTGTTTTTAAAAACAGAAACAATAAAGCAACCATTTAAAAAAAAAAAGCATGGAGAATTAACTTTACATTATTCTAGCATAAAATAAATTATTGATTTCTATTTTGATTCCTGCCCAAATATGCACGTAGATGAAAAAATACAGCCAAAAATAAACACAATGCAACTGATAAGTTTTCCATCAATCCTTTGACCCATAGATTATCTGCAATACTTAATAACAAGCAATTGTAGCACCACTAATTTTTCAGTTACATAATATTAGGTAAGATACCCATATTTTAAATTCAATTCCTGTCTTAAAAGACTGGAATTCTTCCATTCTTAATGCTCATGCCTTGAAAAATTGTCACTCTTCAAAACAGAAAAGGACTTTAGAAACGTAATGACTAATGAATACAAGTTAAAAATTAAAAGCAACACAATTGATATTTTCCTTAAAGCAAAATATTATACTGAAAATGCAACGTTTTACTCATTTTCCCAGATCAACTGATAATACATTTAGTACATAAGTGATACTTAGAAAATGGAGTTTGGACTAGATGCTCTATAGAATTCTAGGAAACAAAACTGTAAATGTTTAATAACTAAGGGCAACAAAGAGGCCTAGGGAATAGTTTTCTAGTTTTCATAATTTCTCCCATACTTGCATTTTAGTATGCCACTCCTTTCTTTTTGTAATCAAAGTACGCCGCAAAACACTGATGTCTGAATGACCTGAGGTATTTTTACTGCTAACATTCAGAGATAACCTCTTATTTAAAAACACAGTATGAATATTTCAAAGAAATTTACACATATTAAAATCATCTTTAACAGACTTCATACAATGAAATATTTTGTAATAAAAGTTAACTAATGCTATAAGCAACAATAGTTATGGACCTTGAAAAGGAGTGGAGAGAATACATACTTTATAATTTCATTTAAACAACATTCAAAACAGGCCAACTGATCTACAGTGACAGAAGTCAGAAAAAAGTGTGGCTTAGAGAAGGAGGGAGAGGTACAGATGTGAAGGGGCCTTGGAATGCTGGTAACGGTCTATTTTCTATTATGGGCGTGGTCACTTTTTAAAGACAGATATGTTCACTTAGTAGAAAAAGCACTGAATTATGTACTTTTCTGAATGTTTATGAAAGTTAAAAAAAAAAAGCCTTTAGAAAATTAATGTTTTTCTAGTAGCATTTTTCAAATGATTTAAAAATTTAAGTGTTCTGATTAAACTAACAGTGTACAATTTCAAAAACTATGATTAGCTACAAACAGAAAAGATACCACCTTGGACACTTTTGAAAAGTGCTTCTTTTTAATAATTTCCCCACCATATACTCTCACAATTATCTTTTCTGTGTCCTATTCTTTTTATCCATTCTTTAGTAAAAACAGTAACACTTGTAAAATCATTATATTTTTTAATTATGCTTATAATAAAAACATGTTTAAGTATTCAACCTTTGATCTAGTAATGCTCCTATTAGGAATATAAGAATCCAAAACATGAGTAAACGTGTATGTGGCAATTCAGCATAGTGTTATCAAAATATCAAAGAAAGAAAAAAAAAAGAAACCTAAAAGCTTATTTCTGGAATCCTTGTGCAAATCACAGAACATCTTTCTGGTAAAATATTAGTAGCCATTAAAATTTATGAAGTGTTTAATTAGATAAAAAATGTATGTTAGATAATAACAAATGGTAAAAAAAAAAAAAAAATGAATCAATAGGCCAGGTGCAGTGCTCACACCAGTAATCCCAACACTTTGGGAGGCCAAGGTGGGAAGATCACCTGAGGTAAGGAGTTCAAGATCAGCTTGGCCAACATGGTGAAATCCGATCTCTACTAAAAGAACACAAAAATTAGCTGGGTGTGGTGGCTCACACCTGCAATCCCAGCTGCTTGGGAGGCTGAGGAAGGAAAATCACTTGAACCTGGAATGTAGAGGTTGCAGTGAGCCAAGAAAGTGCCACTGCACTCCAGCCTGGGCGACAAAGCAAGACTCTGTCTCAAAAACGAAAACAAAAACAAAACAAACAAACAAACAAACAAAAGAATAAAAAACTTTTATGGATGTTCTCAATTTGACTTAAAGCAAAAAAGAAAAAAGCCTCAAAATTAACTTAAAATTATGAATGCACTTTTATTGTTTGTACATTAAACTGTTTTTTAAATTAACATCTTATTTTCTGAATAAAGTTTAAAATAAAGCTTAAGAAAAGAAAGGGCCAGGCAACATAGAAAAGTAGGAAAAAGAAAAGTACTAGAATAAAGACTACCGCAGAAGATAGTTTATTGTTATCACAAGCAGAAAAGCAGCTTTGTGAAAGACAGCTAAAGCAACATGTTAATTTAAAAAAACAACTTTCAAAAGACATATTAAGGTATGAAATCATATATTACATAACTCAAACTACAAATATGGTTAAGTTTAGACATAAAACAAATTACCAAGTATTAACTAGTTGAATCAAAAAATACTGGAATATTTAATCCTACCAGATGTGTCTTCTGAAAATCTTTTGACAAGTTGCTAAAATAAAAATATTAAGCAATTAAGTTGCTGTCAGAAAGGAAATAGTAGGATACATTCAAGAGAAATGCATGTGACCAAAAAAAAAAAAAAAAAAAAATCCCGTAACTTACTAAAATACAAAACACACCAGAAAGCACAACAAATACAAAAACATAGGACAGTCCTCAGAAACCAACTTGATTAACACTTAGAAACTAAAGCACTGCTAACACTATTTTGAATTAAAAAAACAAGAAAAAGAAAAGTTTCCATGATATTAACATATGCTAACTAGAAAATAATTTCTGAAGCAGCAATGGAAACTATTGTTAATATTCCATGTGTCAAGGAACCTGGGAAATAGTGAATAAGTAAAGACCTAACACCATAAAAACTCTAGAAGAAAACCTAGGCAATACCATTCAGGACATAAGCATGGACAAGGACTTCATGACTAAAACACCAAAAGCAATGGCAACAAATGCTAAAATTGACAAATGGGATCTAATTAAACTAAAGAGCTTCTACACAGCAAAAGAAACCATCATTAAACTGGCAACCAATCGAATGGAAAATTTTTTTGCAATCTACCCATCTGACAAAGGGCTAATATCCAGAATCTACAAAGAACTTTAACAAATTTACAAGAAAAAAACAAACACCACCATCAAAAAGTGGGCAAAGGATATAAACAGATTTCTCAAAAGAAGACATTTATGCAGCCAACACACATGAAAAAAAGTTCATTGTCACTGGTCATTAAAGAAATGCAAATCAAAACCACAATGAGATACCATCTCACACCAGTTAGAATGACGATCATTTAAAAAACAGATGCTGGAGAGGATATGGAGATATAGGAATGCTTTTACACTGTTGGTGGGAGTGTAAATTAGTTCAACCACGGTGGAAGACAGTGGGTTAATTTCTCAAGGATCTAGAACTAGAAATACCATTTTACCCAGCAACCCCATTACTGGGTAAATACCCAAAAGATTATAAATGATTCTATTATGAAGACACACGCACACATATGTTTACTGTGGCACTATTCACAATAGCAAAGACTTGGAACCAACCCAAATGCCCATTAATGATAGACTGGATAAAGAAAATGTGGCACATATACACCATGAAATACTATGCAGCCATAAAAAAGAATGAGTTCATGTCCTTTGCAGGGACATGAATAAAGCTGGAAACCATCATTCTCGGCAAACTGACACAAGAACAGAAAACCAAACACAGCATGTTCTCACTCTAAGTGGTTGTTGAACAATGAGAATACACAGACACAGGGAGGGGAACATCATACACCAGTGCCTGAAGCGGGATGGGTTGCTAGGGAGAGGGATAGCAGGGGGTTGGCGGATGGGGAGGGATAGCATTAGGAGAAATACCTAATGTAGATGACGGGGTGATGGATGCAGCAAACCACCAGGGTATGTGTATATCTATGTAACAAACCTGCATGTTCTACACATTTACCCCAGAACTTAAAGTATAATAATAATTAAAAAAAACTGACACGTACCTAGCTGAAGAGAAGGAAAGGCTACTCTTGATATTAATGATAAGAGCCAAGACACACACTGTAGCGATAAGATCAGCAGGTTTTCAATGACCTCCAATCAATTAAAAGACACATCAAGTGTACCAATTATATATGTATATATGTATGGAAAAATGTATTAGTGTGTAAGACATAACCTCTTCCTTCAAGTGATTCCAAAGTTACCAAAGAAATTAAATAAGTCAAACATATACATGCATATGACTTATTTAATTTCTTATTTCTTACTTCTATATGTATACATATAGATAACAGCAAGTCTTGTCTTTTACAAAACTAAGTTCTGTGGGGCCAGGGACTAATTCTAAGCTACTCAGTTTTACATCCAGCGTGTAATACTGCTAGTCCATTGTAGGCAATCAATAAATTATTCACTGAATGAACAAGTGAAGGAAAAAACAAACAAATGTACAGACTGTAATAAAAACCACTGCAAATTAAAAAATAATTTCCTATCAAATGATTTGTCAAAATTATTCAAAATGTTACCCATTTCTCAATTTCTACATTTCCCATATAATCTTTGTTACACTATTTTGAAAATGTCCTAAAGCACAATACCTTCACACCATGAAAAGATCAGAAGAAATTTACAACACAGTATTTATTTATAATAGTCAGTAAACTGCAAATGAGCAGCATTACCTACCTTACCTTTTCAACAGGGAGAAGCGTTTGTAACAGTCGAACTGCAAACAGTGAAATGCTGATAAAGGCCATTCTGTGGTGCACAAGCATCACCTCTGATTGTTCCAAACTGACACTACTCTTATGGTAGCATATAGTTTCTCCAAGGGCTCCCAACACCAGGAGCAGTTTCTCCTTCTAAAAACATTTACACAACATAAAAGAGAAGAAAAGAACTAATTTTAGGGGCCAGTGTACAAAAGCACAAAAGAATGACAAACCACCTACATTTTGAAAATACAACTAATAATCTTTATGTATTTAATATGACTCTTTAACAATGAATAAAATACAAAAGGTAATGAACCATAAATTCCTGCTAGTTTCTAGTGCTTAATTGTTCCAATTTGGAACATTTACAGGTAAACCCCTCGTCAAGTATTTCTTATGCTTACTCTACGTCTAACACAGTGGCAGGCATGATGAAAAAAATGCATTAGAACAAGAGACATAATCCCTGTCCTCAAATTGATACCAACAGTTCTAAAGAAATGAATCAAGGAAAGTCAAACAATTAAAAAGCAATTAAATATCAAATTGTATAAACTCTGTCTCTCTTCAGATAATAAGGTTTCAAGTGAAACGTTATGGCATCATAAATTTTAAATAATTTACTACTCCAATAGAAATAATATCTTTTAAACTGAAAGGTATACATTAAATATGAAGAAGAAGCTATGCATAGTAGACTGACTTGTAAGTCACATCAGTATAGACCAAAGTATATGCCAGATACGCCTCCATAAATTAGTGGGTAAAAGGACACCCTCAGTAAGAAAGAAAGAAAGAAAAAAAATGCTGAAGTTCTTACCTTCAATTTTCGATTGAAAACATATGAAAATAAAAATGAGAAATACCTGCAAACTAGAAACAAAAATCTAATATATCATAATTTTTTAAATTCAAGGATGACTATACAGGGAACAACTAAAAGGTATGAGGCCCAAAAGTCACATGTAATTGGCAAGGATATGGAAAATCTGGAACTCTTGTGTATTGCTGGTGGGAATGTAAAATGGTACAGCTACTGTGGAAAACATAATGGCAGTTCCTCAAAAAAATTAAACACAGAATTATCATATAATCCAACAAATTCCACTTCTGGGTATACACACAAGAGAACTGAAAGCAGGGTCTCCAAGAGAGATGTATACACACCCAGGTTCATAGCAGCACTATTCACAACAGCCAAAAGGTGGAAACAATGCAAGTGGCCACTGAAATGGAGACACAAAATGTGGTATGTTGTGTATACATACAAGAAAAGGGGGCCAGGAAGGGTGGCTCACGCCTGTAATCCCAGCACTTTGGGAGGCTGAGGCAGGCAGATCACGAGGTCAAAAGTTCAAGACCAGCCTGACCAACATGGTGAAACCCTGTCTCTACTAAAAATATAAAAATTAGCCAGCCACAGTGGTGCACACCTGTAATCTCAGCTACTTAAGAAGCTGAGGCAGGAGAATAGCTTGAACCCAGGAGGCAGAGGCTGTGGTGAGTTGAGATCACACCACAGCACTCCAGCCTGGGCAACAGAGTGAGACTCAGAAAAAAAAAAAGGGTATTGAGCCTTCAAAAGGAATTAAATTCTGATACATGCTACAACATGGATGAACCCTTAAAACATAAAATAAGCCAGATATAAAAAGACAAATATATTAATGATTCCACTATTATATGAGGTACCAGGGGCTGGGGGCAGGCAGAATGAGGGTTTACTGTTTAAAGTTGTGTAGATAATGATAATGGTTGTACAGTAATGTCACTGCAGAAGTAAGGAAGACAAAATAATCTACATAGCAAAAAAAAAAAAAAAAAGCAAAACCTTTTTGAGAGTAGACCAAGCATAACTATACCATAAAAAGTTTAAATTTTCCTATAAATGAAAGATAATTTCATATGGAAGTAAAAAAACAAAAATTGAAAATTTATACATACAAAAATCCTTAACTATCATGGGATTAAGAGTTAAAAAAGAAAATAAAATTTTTAAAAAAGAAAAATCTTCGTGCATAAAAGGTTAAAAATTCAATGTGTAGTGGAATAAAAACAAAAAAAATCTAAGTAATACAAATAGTGAATAACTTAGGGCAAAATAAATTAATTTTCTACTGATGAAACGTTTAACAATAAAGACTCAATAAAAATCAGTCTGTGATCTGAATAACACAGAACATCAACAAACTTTTTATTGATATGGAGTTACAGATTTTATCTCGGTCTTTTCAGACTTAATTAAAATTAATAGACATTAACTTTGAACATTGCAAAGAATATAACTTCTCTTCAAGTCTCCAAGAAACACTGACAAAAATTAACTTTAAAAATACTTCACCACACAGAAAACTTCAATGTATATTTAAGGCTATATTTTCTCTCATCCCCCAAGAAATAAAACTAAAAAGTAATAAATATTTAAACCAAAAGTAGAACAACCCTTACAAAATTAAAACAGAAAAACTAAAACATCCTCATACAAGTAACTACTGGTCTAGAGAAAACAAACTGGAAATATAGTGACAGTCTTATATTGACAGGCAATTAATTCCTCTATATAGTATGTCTCCATTAAAATAGTACTGCATCTAAGAATAATGTCTCCATTATTCAAGATTAACTTTGATAATTTACAACTTAAATCAATAAATATATTTACGATCTCAGCATTGTAGGGCTTTTTCTAAAAGTCTATTTACTTGTGAAATTGTTTAAAATAACCTTGCTAATTCTAATGATGAATTGAGTGGTTCTCAAAATAAAGCAAATGCTGTAAGAATGAGTTTTCTAGTTCTATTTCCAACATTTTTTCTAAGCAAAAAAAAAAAAAGTGTTTTGTTTTGTTTTGTTTGGTTTGGTTTGGTTTTCTTTTGTTTTTAAGGAAAGGATTGAAAAACAAGAGTAACTGGCCCACATTTTTAATTCTTTGGGCTAAAGATTCTTAAACAACAACGCTAAAGGAAGGAGTTCACACGTTGGGTGGCGGAATCAGTTTTCACAGGATAGCCATGGTTTTTACAACAGAAGGTATCAAACTGAAATACCAGATTAGCAGAATATCTTAATTACCAATAAAACAGATTTTATAGCATAAACGCAACTTATATACTATCTCCACAATATACAATGGGTTGTAGGATTCCACGAGGCACCTGGAGTAAGTGCAGCAGGCTCTGTCCCTCACATGATTCCAATGGACCTTCCACACTGCAGCCAGTCACAGTTCCTCATGCCAATCTCATCAGGCGCTTGCCTGATTAAAAGTAATCTTTTCCTGCCTTCAGAGGAAGGCAGAGCTACTCAGCACCATGTCAAAAGCCCCCTACAAGAAGATCCTCATTTATCCCACCGGTTTCTCTCCACTATTTGCAACTCACATTTCATGCTCTAGGTGCTTTGTTCTAGCTACCACCAGCCCTAGCCTTTATCTCTGATTAGAACTATCCATGCCTCTTTGTCATGGCTCATGGTTCATTCTTAGTCTCTGTCAGATTAAAAAATATATATATTATTTTATTTGCTTGGCCAAATCCTACTTGTAATTTAAAACTCAGTTCATTCAGATCTACAAAAAGCCCTCACTGAGGCCAGGCATGATGGTTCATGCCTATAATCCCAGCACTTTGGGAGGCCAAGGCAGAAGGATCACTTGAGCCCAGGAGTTCAAGACCAGCCTGGCCAACATGGCAAAACTCAGTCTCTGTTAAAAATACAAAAATTAGCCAGGAGTGGTGGCACATGCCTGTAGTCCCAGCTATTTGGAAGGCTGGGGCATGAGAATTCCTTGAACTCAGGAGGCAGAGGTTGCAGTAAGTCAAGTTCATGCCACTGCGCTCCAGCCTGGACAACAAAGTGAGATTCTGTCTCAAAAAAAAAAAAAAAAAAAGCCCTCACTGACATCCAAGTTCATAGTTCATAGTGATGGCTAGAAATACAAAACCTCAGGTGACCTTGAAAAATAAATTGTGCCTCAGTTATCTAATTTACAGGGTCATGATAATTAAAAGACTTCATAAATAGTGCTTAGTGTCTGATACATAGTGCTATATTTAAACCATCTTAGTTTTACTATTATCACCATATGCTTATCTGTTTTACTAATGTCACATTAAAAGTATTTATCACTCACAGGCATGAAAAGCACATCTTACCTATTTGACACCCCAAGAGCCTAGCATATATTAATAATAGGCAATCTAGAAATGTGAATTAAAATAACTGTCTTTGGAATGGTGGCAGCAGCAGGGAAGGTCTATGTAATTAGAGATCCCACAACCCCAGTTATCAATTCACACTCTGGTCCAAATACCCTTAATGAGTTCTTACTGGATACAAAGCCCTATCTTTAGTTTCTTTCACAATCCTCTTAGCCCTTCTTGAAGTCCTACCAACACTCTACAATTCTACCAACAAGTGTTGATGTCAAAGTTACCAGTTCATAGCAGGTCAGACGGGAATTTAGAAGCAATGAGTCATAAACATGAAAAGACCACTTTTCAATAACTGCATGACAGGAATGACATAGAAGAAACATTGAAAAGGAACAGAAGACAGACCTAAGAGTCTAGGTTATCTGGTAGGAGGTGAAAGCTCCTTTCTCCTTACACCTTGAACCTATCTCAGCACGTAAATAAGGAAAAAACAGACCCAGACTTGATGGTGGAAGACTAGGAGGAATGAGATGTGACACATTTTAGGTCAGCATAACTAATTTTGGTGAAAATATTTTTTCTTTTATTTACTTCAAGTGATATAAAAATATTCAATTTGGGGGGGGAACTGAAATTCCCTTACATACTGAATTATAATTCCAGACAGAATTGATGCTACTGATATTAGCACTGTGTAGAAATACCTAGAGATCTGATAATATATCCTCAGGTACTTAATTTGTAAATTGGTAACAACACATTTATTATTTTGTTTCCTTAATGACACAACAAAAATACTGCTTCTTTCTTTTGAAAATTGGCAAAAGTATGAACATTAAGAAATTCTACT